GCCCCAAGAAGCATACAATTGGCGGAGTCCGACACTTACCAGTGGGCTGACCATCGATGCTCTGAGCCCTTTATGATCGGCTGGATGAAGGCTTGGAAAGAACGCTACGACCAGCCTTACAAGGGAATCACAACAGATGGCAATGTGACCCCCGACCTGTTCCGTCTGGCAGACAAGAATGAAAATTTCGGAGCTCCAGCACACGCTGTCAAGGCAGCCCAGAACGCCATCAATTTTACATCAGAAGAAGAGAGAGAGAAACTTCTCAGACCGGTCGATGCACCAGAGTGGCGCTTTTGGATGAACCCCGAGATTTATGTCTTCAAGCATGGTGTTCGATTGGAAGAATCCTCCAAGGATCTTGTCGCAGCTTTACATGGTCTCATGCGAGCGAGTCTATCAGCCAAGGGCTATGAAAAGGCTCATGGTTGTATGAAGGTCAATCAATTCCTCGGCGAGGTGGTCAATGGCACCAAAGTTCTGAACGAGAACTCGTACAACTTCGTCATCTTCGGAACACCTTCTCCAGAAGAGCCATGGGGCTGGCAGATATTCGGCCACCACCTCTGCATGAATTGCTTCATGGTCGGAACGCAGATGGTGGTTTCTCCTGTCTTTATGGGTGCTGAGCCGAATATTATTGATGCAGGTCCCAATGAGGGCCTTGAGCTTTTCGTTGATCAAGAACAGACTGCCCTCAGCCTTATGCAATCACTTGATCCCGAGGTTCAGAAAGACGTTCAGATCTACAAGAAGCTGAGTGGCGATGAATACCCTCCAGGACGATGGCATCGAGCAGATCAACGACACCTCGGAGGTGCTTTTCAGGACAACCGCATAGTCCCGTATGAGGGTGTCAAGGTATCAGCATTCTCTGAGCCCCAGCAAGATGCGGTCCGCAAACTGGTCAAATTAAGCCTGAACTATCTCCCGGAGAACGCGCTAGCCTCGCACCTTCAGCAGATTGCCGGCCACTGGGATGACACGTGGTTCTGCTGGATCGGCGGATTTGGAGACAGAGACGCCTTTTACTACAAAGTGCATTCTCCGGTTATTATGGTTGAGTTCGACCATCACTCGGGCGTCTTTCTCAACAACAAGGAGCCTCTGCCCTTTCACATTCATACTCTGGTCAGAACCCCAAATGGCAATGATTATGGGAAGCAACTTTTGCGTCAACACCAGGAGCGGAAGAGTAGAGCATAGTCACCATACCGTAGATACATTGTTGAGAAAATGGAAACATTAGATTCAGTCATCCGTTCGAGATCCGTCAAGTAGTTTTAGGATAGCCAGAGAAGAAGTTGGAATTCAAGAGCCGAATTGAAATAGTTGTATATTCACAATAGAGTCATATTGCTTTATCATGTTATTCATTGATCATAGCAAGTTGAAATATAATACCTTGCTCTCTCTCTGTATCAATTTACATGATCCTTGGTGGAGCCATCAGAAGCCCCAACGCCGACAAATGCTCCCTCTTCAAGCCGTAGAAGATGCCAAGAACCTTGATAATTGAAAGGACGTTCTGTGCTTTGTAATTCAAGATGGCGGAGCCGGAATGACAGTGATGGAGAACGAGGATATGGCAAAGCGGGCTGAGAGAATGCTTATTATCGGTCCTGGCAAAGGTTGTTATTTCTGGCTTGTTCTGCGCGTATTCATGGTAGTCCATTGCCGTATGTATAGCAAGCCAGCAGCTGAGTCAATGGCACGCTTGTTCCATAGTAGTCGGCTCTGTACATATACAATACTTAAGTCTTCTTATCATGGTCCGCTCCATCTTCAGAATTGTCAAGCAGGCTCAATCAAGGGTGTACCAGGTATTCTTTGTTCCGGTAGTGGTTCTTATACGTATTCGACGTTCTGCTAATGTGGCTCGTGACTATTGTGTATACTTACCGGTATCCCAGTGAACTCCATACCAGCGTGTGTAATCCTGGCTTGAGTTTGCCCGTTGACGTTAATTAGGCCTAATGCTCTTACTAAGGTATCAAGCTCAATAAGTCGAATCCTGATTCTGAGCGAAACGCAGGATCGCCGTCAGTTCACAATTTATATCAATTGCGATGGAATCAATATTTGTATTTGTATATTCGCATCTCTGCATTGGATCATCTATGAAATCGTATGGCTCCGGTTACATTAGCTTTTTCAGACTATGCTCCTAAGTGTATTGGTCAGCAAGATGGGGCTTAGATAAGCATGAGGCCATGAACTCACTGGCTTATGACTAGTCTCATAGTCAATGTGCACAAAGGCACGCTCAATGACGGGTAGCTTCTCTAGCTTAATCTGGAGATCTTCGGCAATGTCATGGGCTACTTCAACTCGCTCGTTACGATCAATAACTATATCGACCTCTGCAAGAAGCCGAGGGCCTGAGTAGTAAGCTCTGACTGTATCGACCTGTTGGATGAGAGGAGAGTGTGTCATAGCTGAAGGGTTAGCATTGACCCTAAAAAAAACTGGCGGGGCTTACTCACAGATATATGTGATGAGCTGTAGGATATCCTTGTCCGCGGCGACACCGATCATCAGTTGAAACTCGTCATACGCAGTATGGAGCCAGAGGCCAGCGATGAGGACGGATAAGATGATGGCACCCATCGGGTCGATCCACCACTTCAGTTTGGCACCACCAACAGAAGTGAGAATACCAAAGCCGTTGATAAAGAGATCGTTTCGGTGGTCGCGCCAAAGGATGTCAACCTGACTGTAAATGTCCTTCACAGTCCAGCACAGGAAAAAAAGGCCCAGTTTGGTAGCAAAGGCAACAGTGACCGCAATAACCGAGGGCAAATGAAACTTGTTAGTCTCCTCCTCGGACCCCGCGGCCAGGTCACGGGCAGACATGACGATAAGAACCAGCGAGACGGAAAACATGATAAAAGAGAAGACGATGTTGCCAGCAGTCGAGATACGGGCTCTGCCTGAGGGATATTTATTTGGGTCGACTTTATTAACGGCTCGGTGGGCCATGTACAACATGATGCCAGACATGGGATCGAAGATAGAGTCGGCCATGGTGGTGAAGAGCGAGAGGGAGCTGGATGAGATAGCACCATATAGCTGGAGACCAGCCAGGATGATGTTGGCTCCCAGAGAGCCTTTGACGCAGATGTTGTACATAAGAGTGTTGGCGCCGTGAGCGTCTGTCACCTCCTGCTCATGCTCTTCTACCGACTTTAACATGGCCCGGATGCTCTGGTTCTGGGTTTCGTAAAATTCCTGGAGCGGGTGATTCTTCTTGAGACCTAGATGACGCTTGCGTGAGGTATTGGCTCTGGGCATGTCGGATTCGAGCTTGATGTGTGCTGAGAGGCCCAAAGGATCGTCGATAACATGTTGGACCTCGACATCCTTTCCTTGGACATGAGCGCGGGCATGGACTGAGCTCATAGCGATCTTCGCTGTCTGGTCGGCCATGTTGTGTATTAAGTTTCAGAAAGAATAATAGGAAGTAAGAAATGAAAGAACCAGAGGAAACAAGGATATAACAGATGGAAGAAAGAACGAATCATATGACAGGGAAATGCAGATTTCTTTCTATCCCAACAAAGGGAGCCATCTCGCTGGAGATTATTCTGTCATTGCCGCCCACAAAATAGTGGCGTCGAGGTACGGTGACAACACCGACGGTAACATGCACAAGCACGCTAATAATCAACTTAGGCTGACCAGCGTGTCTTCTCCACAATTAGCCGACATCATTAAGATTCCAGATAAAGTCCGTCAATTAAGCATACGTCTACCTATAAATGGTTTCAGTATGAAGATAATTATTACATACTATATTATCTTTTATTGTCTTTACCATAGGTAACCTTTTTTATTTATTTCATCGAATGATAAGTCTCAGAGGCGGGGTCAGAGATGGAAAAGAGTGATCTACAGATGGTGGGCTCGGGCTTTAGGCAATAATTTGACCGATGAGATTTAGATCTCACGGAATGCAGCCAAACCGCTTAGTAATAGGATATCTGCGTTTCCGGATCCGCTACCCCACTAGATCTAGTCCAACTTGGGAGTAGCTTGAGGCCAGTTAAGCTTCTTCTTGGCCCGTTAAAAAAAGGGTGTGATGCATCCAAGCTTTTGAGATGACGACAATCTCACATTCCCGTGTCTTGCGCCCTTCTAGTTTTTTTTTTTACGAGGCTTTCAGTTTTTTCAATGGGCCGCTTGACTTACTATGTATCTAACAAGCGGTGTAGTTAAAGTTCTGTCCTGTCCTTGTACCTGAAAACCCTCATGATAGCCAGTTGCCCGGTTGCCACCTTGGTTTTATTTATTATTAGGCAACAAGAAGTATCCAAGTCATGATTCTAATGTAATATTTCTGCCAATCCTTATGTATCAACGGAGAAACAAAGTATTCCGACGTTCACTGCCCTGAACTTGTCACCTGTTGCCGAAGGTGGCGATGTAACAAGGCAACTTGTCTTGAACATCAGCAACAGCCATCTAAACAAAACCATCCCATGTCGGACAAATGACAGCCTCAATACCACGTTAGATCTCCCTAATCTAGGCTGTGCAGAAGATAAATCCACAGTGTCATCTCAACCAAGGGCAACTCAGGCATATTTACTCCGGGTAATATTCCTTTTAGGGCTGTCTTATTGGCTTCCGTTGGACCTGGTTCCAGCTCGCTAGGATCTACCCCCGCGTTACGGTGCCGGATAGCCGAGATCGACTTGCTGTGCAACGGTTCCAGATCATTATTACACGTAGCTAGCGAAATCATGGAGCAGAATTCCTTCGGTGTAATAAAAGCCACAAGGCCGAAAAGCCTGCTTTGATTTTATCTATCCGGTCATATATATATCTAGGTGACCCCCTCCTGGAATCGCCAAGACATCAATTTCGTGTGACCTATATCAAAGAGTTGAACTACCTTCCCAAAGGCTTACAAAAAGCCACAAAGATACCCCTATCGAAGACTACCCGCAATCGTCAGCGCACCCTCATCCACGCCGCCTTTACTGCAGCACTCCATCATGGAGGAAGTCAGCGACCCTTTCAACCTCACATCCCGACGACGCGAACACGTAACGAAAGAACAAATCAAGAACGATTATCCACAAGGCGATGCCCGCTTGCTTCGAAAGTTCTATACCCGACAAAACAAGCTTATAGACCAATTTCTTGGCGTTGATGATGAAGAGAGGGCCCAGGCCGAGGAAGAGGCTCGAGTAGCAGGCAAGATCAAGTTTGCAGTCAATGCATCCTTTGTGGTCAACTTTTGCCTCTTCGTCATTCAGTTGTACGCGGCTATCTCAACGGGATCATTGGCGGTATGGGTGTATATCCTTACGATACAGGCCAGCAGCTAACTTGAGTTACAGCTATTCGCAACAGCAGCAGATGCATTTGTAAGTCATACTTGCTTGTCAAGCGATGAGTTCTGACCTTGAAGCAGATGGACCTTGTCTCTTCCTTTGTGATGCTCATTACCTCCCGGCTAGCGGCTCGTCCAAGCATCTATAAATACCCTGTCGTATGTTATGTTATCACCAGAGTTATTGATATAGCCACTCATGGTGTTCTAGGGTCGGACGCGGATTGAAACCATTGGAGTCATCCTTTTCTGCGCCCTAATGACAACAGTCGCGGTCCAGCTTTTGATCGAATCAGCCAGAACCTTGGGTACTGGCAAGACTGAGTCTGAGGAGCTTCACTTGATTCCAATCATATTTGTTTGTGTTGCTAGTAAGTTAACAATCCAAGTCGCGATACGCGATCGCTGATGATGATTCCAGTCTTCAGCAAGGCATCTCTTATGCTATATTGCATGACGTACCGCAAGTATCCGTCGGTCCATGTGTTCTTCGTAAGTCTGGTCAAGGCCACCTCGACTATCTTGCTAATCATCTGGTAGATTGATCACCGCAACGACATTGTCGTTAACAGCTTTGGTCTCATAATGTCGGTTGTAGGTGACAAGTTCATCTGGTATCTGGACCCTATTGGTGCTATCTGCATCGCACTTCTGATCCTTTTCTCATGGATCTCCAATGCTTTTGAGCAAATATGGCTACTGGTCGGCAAGGCAGCGCCTCAAGAGTTTATTGCCAAATTGATCTACATGAGCATAACACATGATGACCAGATCTCCATGGTTGAGACCGTGAGTCTAAATCCCAGACATATCGAAAGTTGATTAACAAAGAAAAGTGCCGCGCGTATCATGCTGGACAAAAGTATTATGTCGAGGTAGATATAGTCATGGATGAGCAAACATCACTCAAGATCAGCCATGACGTTGCTCAGTCACTGCAGCGAAAGATTGAAGGTAAACTGTTTTTGCAGTTCTATTTAGACTGTGTAAGTACGCTAACATTTCTGTAGGGCTTGGTGATGTTGAGCGGGCGTTTGTTCATGTCGATTATGAGTGTGAACACAGCATCCACGAAGAGCACAAGCCACTTTATGATAGGAAGTTTTAATTTAAAGCAAACATGAGCGATTTTGAAATTAATGGTCATGTCACAGCAGGAATATCCCCTGGATTCATAACTTCACCAAATGTACCTTGATATTATACACCTTCATATTCGTCAAATAGCTTCTCATTGACATGCCATGTAAGCTCAACTTATACACATTGATTGGTGTCGGTGATTGCCCTACCAGGCTTACTTGATCTCCTTGATCCTCTCATCCTCGGCGTTCTTATCCTCAATGTGAGCTTGCCCAATATGGTGGTCCATAGCCTTGTCGTCCAAAGTGTCTGGTTCAAGCTTCTCATTCACTGCCTCTTCATTCTCCTCTTCTTCAATAGCCCTTTTATACAGACCAGCTTTGATATCCCTTCTCCAAAGAAATTGACCAACCATAAACAGAGTCAGATAACAGCAGGTGAGAGCGACGTTTGCTGAGAAACCCTTGGTCCAACGAGGTCCTTGAGTAATGGGGAACGCGACAACGTTGTACCAGGTGAAAAAGGCCCAGCCAACAGTCATCTGAGAGTTCTCGTTAGCTTCGAAAAGGCCGGTTGGAATGTAAGTCAACTTACCATGGCACCAGTAGTAAAACTTCTTGCTTCGTTATCGTCTTTCATGATCAGGTGTACCCATGGGAAAAGCATGGGGGTGATGCAAGAACTCATGCCAAGGAGGAAATATGCGGCGAAATGCAATCCAAGAGGAATATTCCAGACTAAAAGGGTCGAGTGACAGAACAGGAGGACAGTTCCTGCGAAACAGAAAGGCACCCAGATTGGATAAACCCTGGAGAAATTGTCAGCTTTGAGTATAAGAGACAGGCGAGGCTCCTGATACTAACATGACAAACGAAGGCACAGTGATACCGACCACAATGGCTAGTGCTTGAACTCCAGTTGGCAAGATGTTGATCATCTCCACAGAGTATTGGCCGGTAGACTTTACCCAGACGATCATCTGACCGGCAACCCAGGTAGTCAGTTGGAAGCTAAGGGCATTAGTTAGAGAGAGAACTGCAGAGGTGCAGCTGAAGAAAGTACAGGACTCACCAAACATAGGTGCAGACAGCGATGTAAAAGTGCCACTTCCGGAAGACACGCTTCAGCATCTTCTTACCAATCTTCTTACTCTTCCTCATCCCATCGTCTTGCATGCGGGCCTGAGCAAGCTTTTGGTCTTCTTCACTGAGCCACCAGACACGAGGGCTGGTAGGCACACCTGGATAGAGAAAGAAGCCGGCAATGGCAATGGGCAAGGAAATGATACCATCGATGATAAAGACCCAGCGCCTATAAACACAGGAGTCAGAGAGCTTCGAGAAGCAGGGAACGAGTGATCTTTTCGTCAACTTACCATCCAGCCATGCCTCCCTTTCCATCGAGACCAGCATGAGCGGCGGCTTGCATGTAGCCACCAAACATAGCACCAATATTGCTCGAAACATACCACACTCCAGCACGCTTGAACACTTCATCGGATCGGTACCAAGAGGAAAGAACGTATAAAGAGCCAGTAGCAGCTGGAGTCTCGAAAAGTCCCATAAGGAATCGCATGCCGTAAATCATCGGGGCGCTGTTGTTGCGGCATTGAATAAACGTGATGATGGACCAGAGAGTTTCGCAGATAGGCAGAACCCAACGAGCATATTTTGGACGGGAAATGAGCAGCATGCAGGGGATTTCCATGACGAGATAACCGATGTTGTAGAAGGTAGAGAACAAATTGTACCTGGATCAAGTCAGACGTGCAAACTGGAAGGATAGAGTCAACTTACTCGATCCCTTTAAGGTTGAGCTCTTCTTTCATACCCGAGTTATAGGCGTTGTTAATGTTGGACTGGTCAAGCCACTTGATGAAGTCTATTAACTGTCAGTGCTACTTATTTAGGGTTCAGTCAATTTCAACCTGGGACTTACACATGGAACAACTAAAATCGAGGTCATTAGCCAATCGTGTCAGTCGGACGTACTCAAACTTACATAAGTGGCAGAATGGTGCGATCCAACTTTCTGAGAAGTCGCTTCTCCTCCTTGCTATAATGTCCTGGGTACCAATTGAAGATGTAGAGCCAGGCGAGCCAGACACTCTTGGCCTCGGGTTTGGTCGCCGAACTGACAACAACTCCATTCTTGACTACTGGCTCGGGGATCTCTTCGGGGTTGCCAGCGACATCCCGACGAGTCTCGGGCTGCTCGTTCGTGGGCTGGATTTCGAGCCCATCGTTGGTTCTCGACTGAGAAGTCATTGAGATGGATTGCAAGGTGACACTGTTCAAAGAAAGTGGTTAAACTTGTTGTTCGTGCCCTTGGATCAAGGCATGAGGTGATGGGATTTAACTATCATGCTTGCCTCGACTCTCTTCTTGTATCTGTCGATCGTGTGCTTGTTCTGAACCCTGGGTCGCATTACCCCGCATGTCCGTCCCCATGGGGTCACTCTAGTTTGAGACTGGTCTGTCACCCAAAAGCCTTCGGGGTAGCTTCGTCGGAGCAATTTCCTCGGGTAGCGGAGGATCTCCAAGCTGTATTGATTGCCAAGTCTGCCTTTAACGTAAAGAAAGACCTGGGGTAATTTAGAGCGAGCCGATTTGTGGATTGGTCTCTTATACGAAAATCTTGTTTCATTACTGACCTCGGCGGATGCCAAACCGAAGCCCGACTGCTGCCACCCACAAAGCGCATTAGGCCACTAAACACTCAAAGCTCCGCTTCTTTTTGGAAATAATGATCTCAATAATATTAACAATAGTTACTAGATGACAAGTCATTAAAAGCATCCGCTCTCGTGTTCCGTTCCAAAGATGCCATCATCGAAACTAATCACGCGATCCATGTCGATAAACTCGGCATCAAGGAGCATTTGAGAAATCATGCCCAAGTCTCCACTGCCTACACTACCGCTTCTTTGACCTACTTGACCATTCGCTAAGCTTGGCGTAGCACCAGGGAAGTACGCGTTAGCTGACACATTGTTTGTGAATGAAGGGGCTCCATTTTGTTGCACTGGAAGCCTGAAGTCTTGATGACTTTGCGGCCTCGGAGCTGTATCTAGCTGTTGTGACACTGCTTTAGAGTGCTTAACTTCCGTAGTATAAGCCGAAGGGCTGATGTTGAATGATGCATCTTGAACACATCGAGTATGCAAGTCAACAAGAACGGCTTGATACTTGGATGCTAAATTCTCCCGAAGTCCGAGTTGATGAGGCCCTGACCATCGCTTAGCCATTGTCTCTAGATTCTGTGTCATTGCCCAGAACTCGGGTGACAAAGCATCAGTCGCATGATACCGCCAGTGTAATAGCAGAACTCTGGCTGCAAGGTACACACAGAAAGCATATTGATTACTCAGAGGACCTGTATGTTCAGCAATCTGGAGGTAGTTATTCGTTATCGTCGCAATCTCGATGGCTGCCGCTTGGCAAGTATCAAGGCTACAGAAGCTCGGAAGCCTTGTTCTGAAAGTCCAGTCCAGAGGAGGAAAGGCTATGGGTTGGTGTAGTAGTATCATGGATGCATTGTGCGTGACGTGGGCTAGCGTAAGGTTTGGATCCATCCTCGACGATTGTTGAGCAATATTCACTTTCCACTTCTTGGGGAGAAGCATCTTCCAGTGCACCAACCGTACGTCAAGCTCTTTAAAGCGTGTGAGCCAACTTCCGAGATCATTATGGTCCTTGATATTTACTTTCTGCTGAAGGAAGTAACTCGTGACGCGACTCAATGACTCGGTTGCCTCGATACAATAGGCAAATGCACCGACTGTCGACATATCGACAGAAGACGCTGCTGCTCCTGGAGATGTTGTTGCTTCGGACGGTGTCACCCCGTCTTCATCCGCGGTGGCTGGTGCGGCGGTGGAATGCGAAGGGAGAAAAGCGATGGGGTTTCCAATGCGTGCGGCTGATTTATCCCAGATACCAAAGTATGGAGTAGATACAGGGTCCTCCTTTCTCCACGTTATTCCGTCGCAGGGCAATCGGCGGTTGACATCGTCCGAGGTAAGGCTAGTATTCCAAGCCGTGGTGAAGGAGCAGAATCGATCCAAGTTGAAGACACACCAAAATACCCTCCTTCTCTCTTCCGCTTCTGTCCATCCATATGGGGGATGTAGAGAAGTGTATGGGCGAGAAAATGATGAGCGATCCGCTTCCTCACTTTCTATCGTCAGCTGGAGATATTCAACCATGCGAGTCAAAGCACCGATAAGGGACCATGCTCGACACTCCTCTCCGTCACCAATCTTGAACGCGTGTTAGTCATGTGAGTGAATCTAGGATCAAGTGCTAGCTTACATCGCGAAAGCAGATAATTATCAGAGCCTGGAGGTTCTCCACCGACAGACTCTTGGTAGCTTTGGCAACCACCCAGCCTCTGACATCTTTTTGGTCCCCAATGAGACTCTGTGCTATTTCGGCAACATCTCTCCTGGGAACATGATGCGAGGCACTCAAGATCATAGCCTGCAGAAGCGGAAGCAGATTTGTGTCATCGCCATGATCCTGAAGTCGTTTGCGAAATCGCGCCTCGTGTATCATCGGAATCCATGGGTGTATCTGCCGAAAGTATGCGTCTAAAACTTGGTCGAGGATAACATCATCTGGTAAGCTTGGCCGATTAACCGCATACTGAGGTCTTTCTCGGTGCCCACTGTCTCTTTCCGTTCGACGACGTTTATGTATCGGATCATCAGAAGCTTCTGGAGAAACGGTAAGGGCTGGTTTGCCGAGTTTGCATATTTCGCGTGCAAGAGAGAACAGCAGACTCTGTCCATCTATAGCTTCTTGTCGCGAGCTTGCGTTGGTATTTGATGTCTCTTCGGCGCGCAGGTTTTCCAATGTTGTCTGTTGTTTCGCGATCGTCCGTTCCAATGCATCTTATCTCAATCAGCCATACTGTGGTTGTGTATGCACGTTGATCGTACCGAGCCTTTTGTGGACGTTTTCAATGGCACCGGCTTTCATGCCAGGCCTGGCGCGTTTCGTCTCGTAGATACAATCTTGCCCTGGTAAGGCGCGTTAGATACCTCATTACGAAGCGGAACATTATGTCGCCATACCTGTCTTACGACAATGCTCGCAGATTGGCGTCTCTCGTGAACACCGAAGCTTGCGTTTCCGACAGCAGTTGCAAGCAAGGCCTACATCGGAGGCTTGAGCAGTCTGCTCCGGCTGGGTGGAGTTGTCTGGCCCGTCGTTATCCATATTATCGCCCCGGACAAAGTAAAAACACGCAATACAGGTCGTTTGTGATTATGACAGACGAGAAGGCGGGAGTTCAAGAGGCCCCGAGTTATTTAGCCCGAGGGCCGCTCGAGATACCCCGAGATGCCGAGCACCCCCGCACGCCAATAATCTGCTACTCTGGCTTATGTTAGCCCAGCTTCTCATTAGATGATGTTAATTCGATAATCGGACAAAGATTGACCGAGCTTCATCTGCATTCACTCGGTTTTTCAACCTTCATATTGTCATTGTTCGAAGCTGGTGGTTTCGCTCAACCCTTAGTCTTGAATAAGTTATTCGCAGCTCACTTTTTGAATCGCCATGCCTGGACTGCCCGGCTTTTCTGACAATCCCTTCCGGGATCGTCATGATCTAATACGTGCCGCCACTGCAGTTATTAAACCATTAGAGCAATACAGGTCCAAGTCTAAAGCTCGCGTTAAGCTATACCCATCGACTGCTGCGGCTTTTGACGATGTTGCCGCTCAACTCGAAGGTTTTGCTCGTCCACTATGGGCAATATCAGGTCTTGTGGATAAGGATATCGACCCTTCAATGCGTTCCTGGATCCGCGGTATTGAAGCTGGGGTTGATCCAGATAATCCCGAATATTGGGGTCACCTCAGATCATTCGACCAGCGCATGGTTGAGATGGAATCGATAGCTTTCGCCTTATTGATGGAGCCTCAAGAAATCTTGTCATTCTTGAAACCGGAATCTATAAAAAATCTCAAACAATGGCTGCAACAAATTAACAACTTCACTATGCCGCAAAATAACTGGCGATGGTTCCGCGTTCTCGTGAACCTGGCACTGACAAAGGTTTTGGGATCCGATAAAGAGAAAGCGAGACAAGCCATGGATGCCGATTTTGAAGTGCTCGATCAGTTCTACCTCGGAGAGGGCTGGTCGTCGGATGGAATTTGGGGAGACGACAGGAAGCAGGCAGATTACTACTCTGGAAGTTTCGCGATTCAATTCGCGCAGCTACTATATGTCCGTTGTGCAGTCGACGACGAGGAAAGAGTTGAGAAATATCGACAACAAGCGATAGACTTTGCGTCCGAGTATTGGAGGTACTTTGACACAAATGGTGCTGCTATTCCCTTTGGTCGAAGTATGACCTACCGATTCGCCTGCGGAGCTTTCTGGTCAGCCCTTGCCCTCTCGGATATTCAGTCTCCAAAGTCTCGAGTTGGCTTGGGCGCAGTCAAGGGACTCCTCCTGCGGCACCTGCGATGGTGGGCGAAACAGCCAGAGATCTTCAATTCAGACGGTACAATGAATATTGGCTATACGTACCCCAACATGTACATGTCTGAAGACTATAACTCCAGACAATCGGTCTACTGGTGCTTGAAATCTTTCGTCGTGCTGGGGTTACCATCAGATCACCCATTCTGGACTGTCCAAGAAGAGTCCCATCCGATCTACTCCTTGGTTCCAGGGGCCAGATTTCCTAACTCTACCAAGGTCTTTAAACCACCGCATCAGATAGTATGCCACTCTGAAGAGCATCATTATCTTCTATCAGCGGGACAGATGACCACCAAAATGTTCAAGGCCAGAGAAGCAAAGTATGGAAAGTTCGCATACTCTTCTGCCTTTGGGTACAGCGTTCCAACTGGCTTGGAACTCCACCAGGTTGCGCCCGACAGCACCTTGGCATTGAGCTTCGATGATGGCGAAACGTGGAGGGTCAGATCGCAGCCAGTCGATGTTTGCTTTGAAACTATATCTATTCACTCTGCAAAAGGTCGTGGCCATCTTCCTGCTATTATCAGCACGTGGAGGCCGGCAAAGAACCTCGACCTAACAGTCCGAACGACTTTGGTCCCTTTGACCTATCATTATCCGGGATGGCACATTCGTATACACCACGTGAATGGCCTTGGTGGAGTCAATAACATCCCGTGGTTCAACGGCTTTGAAATGGTGGACAGCTCGTTCGCTGTAAACGCACTGACGAAAGAGGGATACCATATCCCTGATATAGGCAAGACGGACATAAAGCATGACGGGCAGTTCGCTGAAGGGTGTGTTACTGAGCCATCTAGTGTTCTCGTCAAATCCAGAAGTGGAGTCAGTGGCATTGTTGATTTGACACCAACTATCCACTTCAAAGGGGCGATTCGCCGTGATGAACCGAAGCAGGGAGGGAAGGGATATCTGATTCAAGCAGATCCTAACACAAACTTGATCGCACAGAGGACTTTCATTCCTTCGATCCGGTATTCTGGCACACATCTCACCAGCAGTCAATCTAACTTCACGTCTGACGCTCCGCCTCCAGCCATTGTTGCAACTGCAGTGTTTGGTGTGAGTAATGTGAACCAGAGCCTGAAATATGTGCCAAATGACTGGTACTATTTCAAAGATGATTGGGGATTCATGACCGTGTTAGAGGTTGATATAACTACGGCTGGTGAAATGAGCGTTAGCATTCAGCGGATAACACCTCCTGGGACCTTAGAAAAGGGGCCTTTATAAAACTATACTCAGTCTAGATGTAATCAAACCTTGTTGCCATGTCTAACCAGTAAGTCTAGGACTCTAGCCATCTCTATTTTACCATCCGACAGGAACTGCAAGCTCCAAACTCATTACTAAGTTCTGTGTGGTGATGATAAGCTCTTAGCCACAGGTCTCAACTACCACTTGCCCGAAGAAACTCTTGAGTTATGCTAATCTCGCAGCTACCATACAAGAGTGCAATTATAGTGAGCATAAACAGCTAATGCGCACTGTATGAAAGTGATTCTATTGCTATAGCCAAGAGAACTAATAACTAGGCTAGCCCCATGCTCAAAAGAAGGTTCCCAAACTCGACAAGATAATAATCGCCATATACTAAGCCGTGGTTGGCATACCGTCTTCTCGCGTTTTCATTATTATTAGCTGTCCCATGCTTCAAAAGAGCATCAAATGTCGCCCCCAGGACGACGTCCTCCACCTCCATAGACGTCTTATCCTTTCCAGGAGTGGTGAACTTGGCCTTCTCGGTAGCGAGAGACACATCCAGCGTGTCTTTAATGATTTCGATGGATGCATCGAAGAAGTGGTGGGACAATCTGTGTCTACCCAACGCAGCAAGAGCTTGGGATAGCAATAGCATTCCATTTGCAGCAATGACACCAGCCGATGAATCGCGAAGGGGCTCTTGAGGATTCTCAATGGGCGCATCAAAGTCCCAGAGTGGCACGTGTCGTCCTTTCCGGACGTTTTTATGTCCTTCTCCAGATTCAACCGGAAGCTCGACGCAAGAAGGGGATGTTTCTAGTCTGCGGAGAAAATACTCGGCGCATCCGCAAGCTGCGTCGAGGAACCTTTCACTTTTAGTCCAGCTGTAAGCTTGTGTATAACCAAGAATAGCCCAGGCTTGACCTCTCGACCATGTGGAGTCATTAGCATAGCCCTGAGCGGTGCATCGCCATTTCAAATCTCCAGTCTGGGGGGTAACGTTTGCAACATGACATGTCGAGTAGAGCTGACCCTGATATCCGTGTTTCGCCTTAGACCTCACACTCTCTGGTCGAAGATGCGTCTTCAACAGTGTCGTCGCATGAGTTGCAGCAATATCAGCGAGTCTCTGCTCCCCAGTCTGGGCAGCAGCATAGAATAGCAGGTCGAGATTACACATGCTATCGATAATGACGAGGAGATTGTTTTCCATGTCTGTGACGGTGATGTCCTTTTTCAAAAGACAATCCCAGCTGCGAATAGCACCAGAAGATGGCACATAGCGGGTAGCCAAGCTGCGAGCCGCCTGTACGATAGACGCCAAACTACGCCCACTCCCAAATAGCTCCCAGTCTCTTCGGAGTGCCGGCATGATGATGAAGCTAATGTCGTGGGTGTCTGTTCTGCTAGCCATGGCATGAAGTGGTTCAGACCATGACTTGCACAGCGGAAGTAAATGGTTCCTGATGATTGTGGATGATGCAAGTTCGGTGCTGTCGGCTCTCAAAGATCCCGGATATCTGATGGATCGCTCGAGTAAAGCGTACAGCGTTCCTGGAAAAAAGCCGCAGGTCCAGAACTCGGGTTCGCGAAGTTCCCATTGCCCTTGTCTAGGGCCTTGCAGAGGGACGATTTCGGGAAAACCTTCGCGCGCCGGATTAAAATCTTGCAAGACTCTACTTGCGGCACGACAGGGCTTGGCAAAGATGTTTTCTTCAAAAAGCTCCAGTAGAACTTTGTGAAGACCTGGCTTTTGCTCATGAATCCCGTGTTCTTTAGTTTCTGCTGCCCCTTCAGACAATGAAGTTTCACTCAAAGTTGAATATTCATCCTCTGTTGCTGATGATGCAGATGACTCGCTGCGTCCCATGGTACCGGGCTTGGTACTATGTGTTAAAATACTGTCTGTTGGAACAGGCGAGTCTTGTAGTAATGGAACCATCGTAGAGATTGCTTGGGGAATCAAGGTCAGCCTGGTCAGGACATGTAGTTGCGTTTTTCAAGTTCAAGGTAGAGTGTTTATCCGAAAGTTGTTGTCTCTTGTATTCCATACACTGAGGCCTACTAAAATGATATTGCAGATCACTTTGATGGTTTAATTATCCTCCGTCTGAAATGGCCCGTCTACCTTCGGTGTCGGAGTATCTTGCTCGGTCTGCGGACAAATTCGGATACCGCCTCTTGCTGATTCATCCTTCACCAACTAAAGCATCCGGCACAACTATTGAACTCCGCACTAGGTCTTAGAGATATTTGCACTGATTTGTTTAAACAATTACACAGGTGAAATCTTATATTGGCAGTGATGGCTTTACAGTCTGGTTTGTTTAGGGGAACTTCAAAGTATGGAGGTCTCCGGCGTGCCGCTTAGTCATCTTGATCTCGACTAAAACTCAGAGCCTAAGCCCTACTGTTAAACCCCGCTATTTATCTGATGATGTTATCCATGATCTAATAGCCTGCCTAATCCTGTATGTTGTTAATATCTAGTTTGGCACAAGTCTATGTGGGTAGTTATCCTTATTATAATAGAAGTAAATTGTAACAGTTGGGCCTAATTATATTAAACAAAGCCGTGCTAGGTTTATTATTAGCAAATTGCATAGGGCATATACTAAGTATTATTAAAGTATTATAACTCTTAATAATAGATTTAATATATATTAGGCTTAATGAATATAAAGAAGTTTTGTTAATAGCTAGTAAGCTTAGATTTATAAAAGTATTAATAAATATATTTTATATATTTATATTAACTTAGTATAATAAGTTAGTGCTTATATATAAGTTATAAATGTAATTATGAGTCTTATTAAGTAGCTTATAATAAAAATAAGGGGAAAGAGTAAGTTAATATACTTCTATAGAGAATTACTATAAATTACCTATAATCCCTAATAATTTACGCTTTAAATTACCTCTTATTTATATTAAGCTATATAGCTATTATTTATATTAAGCTATATAGCTATTATTAGTATATAGAAGATATTCTTTTAGCACTTTTATAGACTTTAACTTACTAGCTATTAATCTAACTTCTTTACTTTAATAAGCCTTATTAGTATTATTAACTATTAAGAGATATAATATATTATTAACTATATTTAGACTGTATTTAATAATCCAATTAATATAAACCCCTTTATAGCTTAATTTATCCCTTAGGAAACCTACCTGTTATATATTAATAGCTCTGTTGCATAGACCTGAAGTACTAGAGTATTAATGGGGTTCTAATTGTGTGAATTGTAGCAGCTATTCTGGCCGCGACCGTACTCTCTTGGTAAACAGCAAACCGGAAACATCAAAATCTCCAAAGCTACACGCCAGACGGTAAACGGCACAGCAGAACAGAAACCGTCGTCGGCGATGAGTACGATTCAAGGCTGCAAAGATACGTATAATTGTTTACGGTAACTGTAACCCCGAAGATGCTGTGGGTGTATCATATGGAAGGCGATACCTTAGCCCGAAAAACGGTGGAGCGCCTCCTCCTGGGCCGTCACCGTTATCGTGGAAATGACTTAGCACAAACTAGGTGCTCCGTGGATTTATAACGAGGCTACAAGGTGACTCATCTTCCACCTGCTAGGTCCGGTCAACTCCCTCTAATCCGGTGGGGTTTTGGCGGAGCCATTTTCAAGATTGCATTGCGGTCAACATGGCATAGCTTAGGCCGCCGTTTCGCCAGTCGTCATGGACAACGGCGAGAAGAGGACCCAGGTGTAATGGTCGACTATGTGACCCGAGATACGACAGGCTCTTTTCAAGAATAATGAACTCACAGGGAGGTTTCCCTGTGAGTGGTCCTGCTGGCGTGATACGCCTTGGCGAAGGTGCATTGAGCTATAACAGCAACTTCCCCTGAGTTGAATCTGTAGTAGTGAACGCAGACCTCGAAACACTTTTCACCACGGGTAATTCATTTACTGCAATCTCTGAGGGCGACCCTCTCTTATTTTCAACAACTGTGTTGATTTGTTCAAATGCATTCAATTCGCTCCATCCCTTAAACTGCACTACCGTGGACTTCCCCTGGAGCTTGATATCGTCAAGTGACGCCTGGGAAGATGGGGTGCCACCATCCGCGGCACCAGCAACCAGTCGTTCGATGACATTTTATCGGAAGATGAGCTGTAGACGATACGAGGAATCCTTCAAGACCTAGTCAAGGTATTCGAGACATCATACAAGAGGTCATGCTGGCAACCGGTAAGGCTCGCCAACGATCACCAGACAACGTGTGCAGGCGTGAGTTGAGATCCGGATGAGGAGCATCTTCGAGATCGGTTGCATACTGTTACCGAGGAAAAGTTATTTGAGGCATGCTTGATCGAGAAAACACCGTGGACGATTTACGACCAGAAAGACGCGGAATTATTAATTGCTGACTGCGCCGAGCACATCAAGGATCTCGAAAACTATATTAGAATTGATGCACGAGCTTTGGATCAACTAGCAAGAAATGAGATCGAGGAAGTTAGACAAATCTTGTCCTTGCTCTGGATGGGAGCTCCTGCACAGACTATTGACTCCGTCATGAAGAGGTGGCCGAACAAAAGTTCGTGGAGTAAACCGGATCCATGGCAGCAGATTTCTGTCTCCATTTTGGCCACTCGAACGGGAATGGGGCAGTCCCTGGATTGTGCTCAGGAGGGAACTCCGTGGGCTCTATCAAAATAAGTGATGGCGGATCGGTTCAAGTTGGAGATCGTTATGGGGTAAAGGGCTTTTGGGATTGAAGCTGAAGAATACATGGAAAGAATGCAATGAGTACCAAGAATAAACAGTGAGAATTGCAGTCAAAAGATTAAAGTTAAAGCTGGAAGTCCTAAAACTCAAATCGTAGGATTGTCATCTAGGACTCTAGGACTTATGTCCTAGAAAGAATCAGTCAAAGATATATGGCCTCAAAGTTCCTTCGACTGCAAGGAGAAAATAATAACAATCAGTTGGTAACTGCACCCAGCATCTCTGTGTGATCAAACAACATGACTTGGAATCAATATAGACCCTGGCTTTACCATACATCCGAATGGCAGCATAGTTCCATGTGGGAACAACTTTAGTAGTGGTGAGCTTGGTCTCGGCCGCGAAGAGGTGTGGAAATATAGGTAGTGATGGACCAGGGACTGTGGTGTTGTTCTTCTCCCACCTAATTAACAAGTCCTTAATACTGCGTAGACCTAATTGCAAAGAGTATAAACAATTTAGTCTGCCGCTTATGATCGGGCACGACCGTTCACTCGTATAGGGCGAAGCAGTTGATTTGATCGATGTTCGATGAGGTTCGCAAGTGGCCACCAATCTTGAAACCAATACTATGAGCTTTACAGCATTGTTTACCGCAAGGAATGGCTTTTTGGAGAGTTTTGGGCACAAATACCCGTTGAAAGGACCAGTTGCAACCACTATAAAGACACGATAGGGCGCCATACTTCAATGATAATTTGTATGGTTTCTGAATCTTTCGCCGTCTTTGGGACTGAGGGACAGGGCGGGTCGCGTCAGGGCATATCGCACTGCATGAAGAGCATTGCTGCAGATGCCCTAACGTGTATACTGGCCAAGTTGATGTTCATTACAAAGGTTCAGCAGGAAGGAGATGAGTTCTTGCTAAACCTCCTGCCATACAGGCGAAGACAAATTTCAGCTCATGGATTGAAACAAGCATTTACTCTGTGGTCCAGGTATAGAACCAGTCGGTTCAAATTTGTCTTGTGGGCTAGTAGTATTATAATGCTTGCGTATCATTAGTCGCTGTTGGTAAAACGGGAAAAAAGAAAGAGAAAAACAAAAACAAAAGCCCAAAAGCTTATCGGGTCAGCCTCTCCCGCATGGAGTCTAACAGAAGCTTGACGGTAGACTCATGTCTCTTCGTTATAGCCCACGACAGCGGTGTGCGGCCCAAACTATCTCTGGAATCTATCTCTATATTACCTAATTCTAAAAGAAGCTTCACAATAGACTCTCGTCCACCTTCAGCGGCCCAGGATAACGGTGAGCGGCCAGAGTTGTCTCTGGAATCAACCTCAACGCTGTCTGATTCTAATAGAAGGTCGACAACAAACTTGCTTCCCCCCAGCGCGGCGCATGATAGTAGGGTCCGACCAGAATTGTCTCTAGAATTGGCCTCAACCTTGCTCGACTCCCAAAGAAGTTTGAATATTGACTCTTGTCCCTTTACAGCAGCCCAGGACAGCGGCGTGCGACCGCAATTGTCTCTAGAATCTATCTCGATATTGCCTGTTTTCAACAGAAGCTCGACGATAGACCCGTGTCCCTTTATTGCGGCCCATGATAGTGGTGTGCGGCCAAAATTGTCTCTAGAATCTATCTCGATGTTGCCTGTTTTCAACAGAAGCTCGACGATAGACCCGTGTCCCTGTATTGCGGCCCATGATAGTGGTGTACGGTCAAATTTGCCCCTGGAATCGACTTTGGTCTTGTCCGACTCCAAAATGAGCCTGACGATAGATTCATGGCCATTTGTTGCCGATACCTCTAAGACTTCATTCACAACTCTATTGCAAGCCTCCAGCGCCTTCCTCGCTGTATGCTCTTGGCCCGTAGAAGCTGCCCACAAAAGCGCTGAACCAGTCTCTTGTGCGTTGCGTCGATAGAGGTAATGATTCAGGCTTGTAAAAAAACGGCGGTTGGTCCTAGCCAGGGCGTTTAGATCTGCTTCAGAATCTAGCCATCCAGCAACATCTAGGAGAAGTTCGTTCGGAAGACGCATCAGGGTACGAGAACAGACGTTACATGCGACCGGACTGCGACCAGGCTGCGGCTCGGCTTGCGGGAACATGGTCAAACACTGGAGGATTCCCAAGAGTGGAGTCTGGGTTGACCGAATAGGACGAGATCGAATTATTCAGAGGTTATCTGAATTTGATGGAGATATGTACGACCCGGCAATTCGCGTTTGCACTTCGATGCGAATCGTTCATTCCCCTCTCTTATCCACAAACCTTTGGCTCCAGCTGACAGTCGAAGTGGTCCGAACGCTAATCCACCCTTCCCCACCCATGTGTGGCACCTGACTTATATCTTAGCGAAAGGGGTGTTAGACACGCACAAATACGACGAGGTGAGTGTATCAAAGTGTGGACCAGAATGGGGCGTGCGATCATTATAGCGGTAATACTCCAGTCAGACCCCAGTATTAAGATGTATATGGGACTTAGAGCGGGGAAGCAACTCGACCAAGAACATACACACATCCAATGAGGCACATCAGAGAACCACGAATCGTGACAAGTAGTCTCAAGATAGGCCTCCTATTCATAGTGCGCTTCTTGGTGGGCGAACGTATCTCCTCATACCTCGGTATGAAGAACTCGCCCGGTTTGATGGAGAAAGGAATACTTTTATGTCTTAGCTTAGGACCATTCTGGCAAAATCAAGCTAAAGAGACTCTTTCATTAACCTGGACATCCCCTTTAACTTATACCGACAGTCCTCACTGGTATACCAGGTCCTTGTTGCCGCGAAGGCCTCGATCACGCCGCTCAATAAGGCCAACGCGGACATAGCTCAAGCTTACCAAGTCGTCGATGTAACCATAAAATTCTCTTTTCATTTAGAGAAATATACCAGATCGTTCAAGGCGTGATTTAAGGTCTTGTACGTAGATAGAAATCCTTATTTAGTCCGTCAACTGTCTTGAGCATCAACTATCACCACAGTCATTCGATTCTGGCTTCGCATACTAATTTAACAATGATGCACGGTAAATGAAAAGAAATAAGCAAAGCCAAATCGTTTAGGCAGTCAGCGTTCCCTCAACGGTAAGCGTACCGGTTTTGGAAATGAGATACTCCTCAATAGCAACATCCTTACCAGCCTCTTTCCCATACCCTGAAGCCTTGATACCGCCGAAAGGGGACTCAGCGCATGATGCGTTTCCTGGTGAAATGATTTGTTAGTCACAATACGACCCCGCAAGTGACTGAGGCTATAGAGATGAAGTACTTACCTGTATTCATCCCGATCATCCCCGCCTCAAGGCTCTCGAGAAGCCTCCAAGTACGGCTCACATCCTTCGTGTAGAAATATGAGGCAAGTCCCATCGATGTGTCGTTAGCCAGTTTCACAACTTCTTCCTCCGTCCCAAACTTGTAAATGCCGAGCAAAGGACCGAAAATCTCCTCTTGGGTCGTCAACATATCCGGAGTCATCCCGGAAACAACAGTAGGCTCGAAGAAGTAGCCGCCCTTGCAATGGTCGGGCCTCTTTCCTCCACAAAGCAACTTGCCTCCTTTACTGAGGGCGTCAGCGACATGTCTTTCTACCTTTTCAACCTGTCGTAAAGTTGTTAGAGGACCAATTGTCGTCCCATCGGCTGCGCCATGCCCAACCCGGAGCCTCTGGGTTGCTTGGACCATCTTCTGACAGAAAGTCTCGTAAACCCCACTTTGGACGTAAACCCTGTTGGCATGCGTACAAGCCTGGCCAGCAGTCCGCCATTTAAGTATCATTAGAGCTGCGACGGCTTCGTCGAGGTTACCGTCATCGAACACAATAAAAGGACAGTTGCCGCCAAGTTCCATTGTGACCTTCTTGAGGCCCTCAGCGCAATGTTTTGCGACGATGCTTCCGACGTTGGTACTGCCAGTAAAGGTTACCTTGCGCACTAATGGGTGCTTGCAGAGCCTCTCGCTGACAGATGGAGTATGCTCGTTATCGGTTGAGATGACATTGAGTACACCAGTCGGTAGGCCGGCCCGAAGAGCTAGATCAGCCAAAGCTATGACGCTGAGAGGGGTTTCAGGCGAAGGCTTGACAACCATTGTGCATCCTGCAGCAATGGCAGCAGCCACCTTTCGGATAATCATGGCAACGGGGAAGTTCCAGGGTACCAGAGCGACACAAACACCAACTGGTTGCTTGATGACGAATGTCCGTCGGGATGAGACTGAGGGCAAGGCGATTGAGCCACGAACTCGCTCGGCCTCACCAGCAAACCACCAAGCAAAACCGAGCGCGTAGTCAACCTCACCAACTGCCTCTACCATCGGCTTGCCTGTTTCATAGACAACAATCTTGGCTATGTCTTCTCGGGCCTTTGTTATTAACTCGTGCCACTTGAGGAGAATCTTGGCTCTTTCACGAGGGTTGGTGTGGCGGAAAGAGTCAAAGGCAGTTTGTGATGATTCGATATACTGATCAACGTCGGTGACTTGGTTAGTAGGACAAGAAGCCCAGATCCTGCCGGAACCAGGGTCTAAATATACCATGATTAGTCCTCAAGCACACGACCACAAATAGCATCTGACCTTACCTTCAACGTCAAACCGTTTAGCTTCCTGCGCCTGCACCCATTGTCCACTGAGCAATGAAGCCTCATGGAGCAGGGACGGATCGTTCAGCTAGCATTGGTCAGAAAGTTGTTCAAGGTAGGCCAATGGGTTGTGTTTACAGTAAAAGGGAGACTTTTCGACATATTTGCCTGTACCGTTTCTTCTTTCGAGCCGCGCTCAAATGTATACAATAAATTTTTATCGCACGACACAACTACGAACAGGAAGAAGCCCTTTTTATAGATTAACTGAGAGCTTCGAGGTCTAGCAGGGCTTGCGTACAATAGAGCTCACGGAGCTGAGGAAGGCCCGGCGTTCTCCCTTCGCCCATGCCGACCGGCCAGCCGTAACAGATCCCGGGTTACGTGCATTCATTCTGCAGAAAATCGATCCGATTGGGTCAATGCACCGCTATTGGGACCCAGACGGGTTGCATTCGTCAGTGTTTCGTTATGTCAACGAGTGCATGACCACCAGCGTTCCATTTACAGATTCACTCGCTCCCAGGCCCCAATTCTTTGGGTATGTTGACAAAGGTTTTTTACTACTAATAACGCCGCTACTTCATCATTACTAATGACAATGATGCACATTAGTGACTAGTAATCGATGGTATTTTTGTGATTGTTCCCATGATTCATATAGAAGGTATGCCTGCCAGTCAGCACCCATCTCTCCAACTCGACACTCACCTCTGAATACCGTTTTTCTTGGTCATTTTTAAGGCTTCTCTCTGCATCATACAAAATGATACACCCTACTAAAGAAGTTTCCATTGCTGTCATCGGTAAGTACTTGACCTACCAACACCGTGCATAGCGATCGGCAGCCAGTGGTTCGAGGATTAATCTCAGATAGGTGCTGGCGGTGTTGGCTCAGTTTTCCTCCAGCAGCTCGCCTATGTCGCCAGTCGGCGCCGCTCTCCCGAAATAAGACTTGTCTATGTCGCCATAATCAACAAAGCACTTTACCACGCCGATTATCAACACATTGAGATTGCCACAGCTCTTTCTGCACTGGAAGCTAAAGGAGGACCACTCCCCTCCATCTCTCAAACTGTCGAGTACCTTTCTCGTGCACCTGGGAAGGTCATTGTGGTGGATAACACAAGCAGCCAGCAAATCGCCGAGGCTTATCCGCAGTTCCTTCGCCATGGGTTCAGCGTAGTGACCCCCAATAAGAAAGGCTTTTCTGGTAGCTGGAGTCTATGGCAGGAGATCTTTGATGCAGAGGGCACCGATGGCTCCATGGTTTACCACGAATGCTCAGTCGGTGCAGCGCTACCGATCATCGGGCCTTTGAAGCGACTTGTCGAGACCGGCGATGAAATCACACGCGTTGAGGGCGTTTTTAGCGGTACGATGTCGTACCTCTTCAACAATTTCGCTCCGACCCAGGGAAGTGGCGGCCAGTGGTCAGACGAAGTCAAAAAAGCGAAGGAATTAGGTTACACCGAGCCTGACCCACGTGATGACTTGAACGGCCTCGACGTCGCTCGAAAAGTTACCATCGTCGCCCGCTTGGCTGGACTCGCCATTGAGTCACCGACTTCTTTCCCAGTCCAGAGTCTGATTCCCAAAGAGCTTGAGGGGGTCACAAGCGGCGAAGAGTTTCTCCAGAGGCTTTCCGAGTTCGATGCTCAGATGGAGGAACATAAAGCAACGGCTGCCAAAGAAGGCAAAGTGGTTCGATTTGTTGGCCATGTTGATGTGGCATCGAACCAAGCCAAAGTTGGTCTAGAGTCTTTCGAGAAATCCCACCCTATCGCGTCGCTCAAGGGAAGCGACAATATCATTAGCATCTATACTAAGCGATATGGTGATCTGCCCTTGATTGTTCAAGGTGCTGGTGCCGGTGCGGCTGTGACGGCTATGGGCGTCTTGGGAGACGTGTTGAAGGTGCTGGAACGGATTAGGTAGATCGAGACAGAATAGCCATCAGTATGACCAATGGGAATAAGATGTCACGACGAAGCGGGGAATATAGACCGGAGTTGAAATTCAAGTCATTATCCTAAGTGGGAGACGTACGTGAATGGCCGTAGGACCCCCTTCCCCAGGAGCCACCCTCAAGTTTCCAATATTTGTGGTGGGACGACTGGATAAGTCGTAAAATCTCGCAGGTTATCGTGTAAGAGCCGATGTCGCTATGAAACCCGCTAGATCAATCGCGCATATCAAGCGATTGCAGTGGAGTAAGGACCCCTATGCCTAAGAGTAATTAGCCTCTTACGCTATTTTTTTTCTAGACCTTACCTGAGTAACTATCAACCGTGCGGAGACATAAGACTGACGGGCTATAGACAAAAAAGGGTGGCCCCACTCTGTATAGAGAGCGACGTTATAATCGCTCAAAATAAAAGGCAGGTCGATGCGCACCTCTCTATAAAACCTACTAGAAATAGATCCACTCTGTCAGCCCCATACTGTTCAACGTAATCGTACGGGGGTTTGGAATTGCAAAAGTGATGTCTCGACTTTTCTCCAGGTATGGAGACGCTAGCTAATAACGCCGTAAGTCAAAAGAGAAAATGTTTCGGTAAGCGGCTTGCGGATCGACCTTCCCCTGAGATCTGGTCAAGCATCTAACATGGCCTCTTAGAGTAACGTTCCTCTGTAGTAGGTGAATCCGACGGGCGTAGGAGTGCCGTGGGATGGGTACGCCGTGTATCTGCATGAACTAGATGCGCGCCCTTGGCTTGACATTAGGGCGCAAGTGGCTCAGATGATAATTGAACAAGAGATTCGCGGTGACTTTATAAGTACAACCCAGTATGGTAACTCCGTTCACCAACACTGAGATTTTTCAAGCAAAATTATCAGCGCCGTTATTAACATCAGGACAATGGGGACCAACTTAACCCGCGGTGAGGCCGATAAGTTTGTCCTTACAGCTGAGGCTTTGCACAAAGCTCTACCTAAATTCCATTTCTCAACCCAGGCAGTACACGCCGATGACTTTGTCAGCCCTCACCGGGCCATTGCCCCAGCGATGCACCCCGCCGTGAACTATCGATATACCCGTGATCCGGATCAGCTGGTCGAGATGGAGAATGACGATGTAAGAAACCAGACGAATACAAGAGAGCCTTGCTAATTGGTAGAGATAGCCCAATGCACCTTTCGATTCACACGTTTATTCACGTTACACTGCCCCCAACTCGAACCGATTCGAAATTGTACTCAAAACTCTATTTGGCCACAGCACCGTCTCTTATGCTTCTGGACTTGCTGCTTTTAATTCGATGTTGATCTTGGTGAACCCCAAGAAGATCTTCATTACCGACGGCTATCATGGCGTTCACGGCATAATCGACATCATGCACAAGCTCAACGGGCTTCAAAAGTTGTCGTTAGACGATATTGATCAGGCTGGCCCAGGCGATATGATCCACGTTGAAACACCGCTCAATCCAACTGGTGAGGCGCGTAACCTTGCATTCTTCAAGGAGAAGGCTCGCGCTGCAGGAGCCATCTTGACTGTTGATGCAACACTTGCCCCGCCCCCACTGCAAGATCCTATACAGCTGGGCGCAGATTTAGTCATGCATAGCGGCACCAAGTATATAGGCGGTCACTCTGATATGCTGTGTGGTATTGTTGTTATTCACCCAGATCGTGTCCAGGAGGGATGGGAGAAGACACTGCGTGAGGAACGCCAGGTGTTAGGAAACGTCATGGGCAGCCTGGAGGGCTGGTTGGGCATTCGATCACTGCGTACTCTATTCCTCCGCGTCACACAGCAATCTCGCAACGTTCAAGGTGTCGTTGCTTGGCTCCATAAGGGCCTGGAGGATCGAAACTCGGTTATTGGCCGCACAATCACGAAAGTGACGCATAGTTCTATCCAGAAGGACGCGCTGGATGAGGGCTGGCTTCAGAAACAGATGCCTGGTGGTCATGGTTCTCTCTTCAGCATTTGGCTTAAGAATCTAGAATTCGCTAAGCGTTTGCCGAGTAAACTATACATCTTCCAGCATGCTGCCAGTCTAGGAGGCGTCGAGAGCTTGTGCGAATGGCGTGCCATGAGCAGCGAGGACGAAGATCCGCTATTGCTTAGATTCAGTCTTGGTGTTGAGGATCTGGAAGATCTAAAAGCAGATCTCTTACAGGGACTTGAGGCGCTTCTGGCTGAGGACAGCTGAGATTTTGCGGTGGATAAGGTAGCATAGACTGATTAAAAAGAATAAGTCCAAGATATTGGTTTACCGCGGGAAGGGGACGGAGAATATGATAGACTCGGCCAGAACGGTTCACAAGGTTGAACGAGGGAAGCCTTGATAGCGGAATCACCTGAACGAGTACTAAGACAAAGAATGAAAACAAACGAGATGTATATTACCAGTGTCGCGAATAATATGATATTTTCGCATAGGTGTCGACTGACAATCGCCGCATAGGACTTTGTCAAGACCGACAAAGTCCTATGGCAAAAAGTAAATGGAACGAAATAAAACCACTTGACCTGGCGGGAGAAGCTTGACAATTTTAATGGTGGTACCGGCTATACAGTAAGTACTGGGATATAGAGTAAGGAGAAAAGGCAAGATTGGTTATTAGAGAAACAAATTTTATGAGAAGGAAATCGCTCTTCCGGAATAGAACATCAACTGAAGAGTGTGAGGTTGCAGTGGGCGTGTAAGGTAGGAAAGGTGAGCTTAAAACGACGTTACGGTCGCTGCACTAAAGGTACTGAGAAATCTATATTGATGATGAACAATGAATAAAGGTCGGAGGAGTGATGATTTATCTCAATGACCACGGTATATACATGGGTTCAAATTGACCGATGCAGCCTGCTTTGAAGTGTTCAATACACCATGTCCAAAATCATCCGTATGTAATTGCCCACAACAGAACTTCCACCGTTATGCCAGTAGCCAACAGCAGTTGTATAGAAGAATCGTCTGTGAACAAGTGTGAAGCTATACCTCGGCTGTCGGCCCTTCACGCCAATGTCCTGATTGTCGTCGGAAGTAAATCCTTTTAATCCACTTCCAAGCCTCTGACAAAGACATAAAGACGCCAACATCGATAAACACCACTGTCCATTCCCAGCTAATACCTGTATGCTGGAATACAACGTGGTTGAGCTTGGGGATATACAAAACAGGGAATACTGTGAAGAAGACACCAAAAACAGCCCAGAATAGAAACTGGTTATCCCAAAGATGACTAGCCCACGCCTTGAAGCCTTTGGGCATATAAAAGAGTGAGCGACGAAAGTCAATCAGACCCCACGCAAACAGGAGAAAGATCCAAGTCATCGTTGTGAAGCATGTAGCACGGGCGCGGAACACGGGATCACAGGCTTCAGAGTAATCGTTGTTACAGTTCGAACCAAGGTTACCGTCATTGAAAGCGAAAATGACGACGGTGAACGAGCCAAGCACGCAGGCAGCCATGATGATGCCGTAGACAACCATGTCGACGAGGAACTCGGGTGTGAATACGCCGTATTTGAGCTGCCGAATATTAGTTCACTTTATCGTCAAGGCAAGGGAACAAGAGCCTACATTTTGGGGGGGTCGGTCAAGAATATCTGCTACCGCTTTTTCGAACCCAAGACCAGTTTCACAGAAGGCACCGGTCCCCATGAGCATCCAAATAATCTCAACTGGTGTGAGCTGATACACAGATACTCCGTTCTCATCCTTGAATGCAAGGCCAGCAAGCAATGTTACCACAAAACCAATATTCGCGGCCAACACGTGCTGAATGAATTTCTGGATGTTATCAAATATGCGGCGTCCCTCTTCGATGGCGCTCAGAATTGAAGTAAAATTGTCGTCGGTGAGAATAATATCGGAAGACTCCTTGGCAACATCCGAGCCTGTTCCCATCGCGATCCCTATGTCGGCTCGCTTCAAACTGGGGCTGTCGTTGACTCCGTCGCCAGTCATAGCGACATAACGTCCACGCCTGTGAAGTGCGTCAATCATTCGGACCTTGGTGCTTGGTGCGCAACGAGCCACAACCAGAGGAAGCTGGGTTAATCCGTCGATCTGCTCGTCCGTAAGAGCATCAAATTCGTGTGCGGTCATCATCATCGTTTCGGACACATCGACTGGAAGCGATTGTAATTTCTCTGGAGAAGGCAGAATGCCCACGTCAACGGCAATAGCTTGAGCTGTCTGCGGATGATCGCCTGTAAGCATATGGACAATGATTCCAGCGCCATGGCAAGCGCGAACGCTGAGAAGAGATTCTGGGCGAGGAGGATCGTAGATGCCAATGAGGCCATAAAAGACAAGGTCCTGTTCAAATTTCTGGCGATCCGGGACAACATCGCCAGCAAATTCAGATTCATGGACGATACTGCCGTTCACTTTATGGGCCAGGGCTAGGACACGAAGGCCTTGACTAGCGAGAGTCTCCATATTGAGGTAGATATCCCGACTAGTCTTGGAAGTTAACGGATGGGTTTCATTGCCGAAGGTGATGAATTTGCAGGATTCAAGGACTCGCTCGACGGCGCCCTAGACAAAACAACAATTAGATTCCACTACGAAATTTGGGTATACATTAAGAAGGGTATACCTTTGTAAAAATGTGAGTCTCGTTGGACTCAATATGATGGAAGATGACGGTCATCTTCTTCACGTCAGAGTCAAATGGGTATTCAGCCACGTGCTTCCACTGAGCTTTTTGGCCTTGCGACAACTCTAAGCGATTCAAGCCGAACCGCCCAGCAAACACTTCGATGGCGATATCAGTAGGAGCCCCTTTCACCTTCCATTCACCAGAGTCTGTGGAGCTGCTGTCACTCTGTTCGACAGAAGCAAGGTTGGCCAAGGATGCGATATTAAGATACCTCTGCAGGCTGAATTTGCAGGCCACCTCTTCCTGAGGATTGATCAAGGTCCCTTGCTTCTCCTCAGCATTGGGACCGGCATGATCTGTAGGCTGAGAGGCATGAAAAAAGACTTGACCGGCGGTGGGATTGTACACGTCGCTCGTCGCTTCAACTGAATATGTGCCACAACCTGGGATCCACGCCTTTCGTGTAACCATTCGCCCCTGGGTGATAGTTCCCGTTTTATCGGAGCAAATGTCTTGGATGGTTAGTATTGAACATAGATAAGTGATCAGGTATACTGACTAGTCACGCCCCCTAAAGCCTCGAGACTAGAGAGATTTCGGACAATGACGTGTCGTTCAAGCATCTTCTTTGTGCCAGCCGCCATAGTCAGGGTTAGCACTAGCAGCAAAGATACTGGGATAGTACCTATTGCTGTGGTAATAGCATAAATGATGACGTCCTTGCTGGGATTGAATTCGTTGGCTCCCATTACGATGATAGCGCAGACAATAGCAAAACAGAATAGCGACAGAAAGAGCTGCGAGAGCTTCTTCTGCAGGGGCGTGCCAACAGTGAGGCCCAGGAACTCTCCAAGCCAACTACCAACGGGATCCCAGACAACATGAATCAGGGTTTTTTTGTCTCGAGTTTGGTGCTCTTTGACCTCGTTGCCGCTACTGCTGAGCGCGCCGGCAATGAGACCGATCTCTGTAAACATGCCTGTGGCAAAAACAATACCGCGACCGCGGCCCTTCGTAATGATGGACGAGCTGAATACCACATTAAGACGGTCACCGGGACCAGTTTTGGCGTCAAACGTCAACTTTGGAATCTTTAGTATAGGTACCGATTCACCCGTGAGCAGTGCTTCGTCAGCTTCGAGATTGACGGCTTCAGTAAGCCGGATGTCAGCAGGAACGGAGTCGCCAGTGGCCAAGTCAACGATATCTCCGGGAACAATCTCAGCGGTCTGAATGGTCATGGTTTCACCGCCACGAAAGACGTTACATGTGGGCGTGCCTAATGTACGAAGAGAGTCGATGGTCTTTTCAGCCTGAAGACTCTGGAAGAAGCCGATGAAGATGTTGAGTATGATGATACCAGCTAGGATACCACCAGGGATCCAGGCCTGGATGCCAAAGCTGGCGGCCAGTGCCATCAACAAGACCTAAAGAGGCCAATGGCTACTGTTAGGAGGGTCACGATGCCAGACAACTTGTCAGAGATCACGTACCAAAGTCATTGCGTTGAATATCTGCTCGACAAAAATCTTGACTGGCTGGACGCCAGCCTTCTGCTCTAACTCATTGGGGCCCATTTCTTCCAAGCGCTGAGGGACCTCCTCAGGTCTAAGTCCAGTGGCCGAATTACTACATAACTCATCGAGGACTTGTTGGCTCGTCAAACTGTGGGGGGGTTGGGATAGAGGTTTGTTGGCTTGCCCCGAGATATGCTGGCCCGGAACGGGAGCGTAGGTTTTGCGCTTAACCATGGCCGCAAGCTTGTGTTCGATGGCTGATGATAGGTTACCAAATCGTGATGGCTAATTCTCGAATGGCTACAACGCTCATATCGGACATATTGAGAGGGATCAGAGATAGCTTTTTTGGGCGGTCGCTCTCGGTAGTTATCTCGAACTTCAAGACCGCACTCCTCGAACAGAATGGAGCTGAAAATGTAATTTAGATTTGTTTAATATCACGTACACGGACCAGAACCGGATTAGGAAGATAAACTACAGACTAGTGGCGAGCTAGGGTAAGTAGCCGACATCAATCCGCACCCTTGTGTCAACCGATTCCTGATCGCGGATTGTCTATTACGTTATATAAACTGGGAACTCGGCACCCCCGAATAAGTGACATCCCGCGTTCTGTTGGCAATCCGCAAACCTACTTGAAATTTGAGGGTGCTGGCACGCGAGGAAGTCCACGGCCAGGTTTGAGGTAACCAACGTAGTTTGGTGAAAGACGCGGGCGGAGCAGGGTTGCAAACAGGACGGAATCTTTTATTGTTCAGCAACATCTATTGTGACTCAGTATTCCCTATCCTCTCAGATAATAGAGTTGCACTTCACGCCGAGTTCGAATAGGTCGCTTATCTTGAACCAGCACTGATAATAATGATAACTAATAATAATAACAAAAATGATAATGAATAAAATTAAATATCCTTTTCAAACACCCACGCAGCTGGTCTTTGCGGCATCCTGATAAGCAAACCCTTGTTGATTTGAGAACATACCGAAGAGATGTACAACAAAGGTTGTGAGATAGCTCGCTCGTTTTTGCAGATTTGAGGGCAAGTCGAAGTCAAGCGTGTATGTACCTACCCTATGGCACCAGAGAGAAATCACCAGCTATCGCCTACCAGTTCAGCACTTGTTGCTAGTAAATTTACAATCACGACAGCTATCCACAGAAGTGTGAGACCCTTCACAACTAGAAATAACTGCAAACGTTACTGTATTGAACTTGGAAGCTCGTCGGCCCACATTCTCTTTCGGTTCATGCTGCATGATGTCGAATATTCGAAGGTTGATCCAGAGTTCAACTATTGTCTGCAACTGCTTGACAAGAAAGAGATCTAATTACGATACACCTCGTAATGTCTCCCTTGCCCGGTGGTGGAGGAACACCGCTTTAGTTAGTGCAACGTAGGGTTTTAGTTTGGTGGCATTCCATGCCGGACGAGTCTAAGGAAGACTGCCGGGGATCATGTAGTCACACCCAGGCGTGATTAGCACGACTATTACTAATACTACTATGACTACGACTCCTCATCCTTTCGCCCGGCTTACCACAGATATCACTGGCATGGCTTGTAGCTCAGATGCTACCTTGGCCGATGCTGATCCTGGGCCTTTAGTGTGGGGTTAAAAGTCATTACTTTCTGAGGAGGAATGGGTGGAGGTGGGTTCAGGGGGGTAAGACCACGGAGGGCTTGACGCATGCTATGCACGACTTCTACCACTTAATTTATGAAAAATGTGGGAGCCGGTTGTATGCTGAGCAAAATGCCGATCAGAGAAAGCTGTATCGGCCTTTCGGAAGGCAGTGCCTATCCCTTCTGTTCTGTTCTAATTCGAAGCTAGGGGCTAGGTTTGGCCAATCTTTGTCGTAGTGTAGTATGTGACTGATATGGGATGAGGGTATAGTGTTCCCGGGTAACGTAGTGTGCATTTTCACTGTCCTGGAGCTTCTCGGCATGATCATGTTTTGTTCTCATGCGAATGTGGATAGCTCAGCACGCCCTGTGGCCCAGTAGAAGGCTCTTTGGGCCTAGCGCCCCCTAAACGACGAAGAAGCTCGATGACTTCGCTAACCTCCGGAGGGCAAGAAAAAAGGGATAAAGAAAGATGAAACTAGACATGCCGACCGATCCGAACACACAAAGATTATCAAGACAAGAACTAGTTCCGGATAAGAATGATTGTCAGGGCTAGGATCGATATGAGATGGATACGTTCAGCGTTTCCTGATGGAGATCGAGGTCCCTCTCGAGGTCAAAATTTAACAAAGAGCTGTAGCTTCTTTCAACTCGCGCAAAGTAACAGGGAGATCAGCTTACTCTCTGTGCAACTACCTTTGGGGAAGATCACCTCGTTGTCTATTTTACCTATGGGTATCCACGTTGATGACTCGGATCAAATGATCGAATATTTGTAGAGAAGCGACCGCTTCGTTAGTTCATCTTACGAGATGGTGCTTTGGCCTTGATCTTGTAATCAAGTTATTATTGTCTAGAAGCTGCGAACCTTGAGGCTACACAGACATGTTGAAAATTCCCTCACCTCCGATATCGCCTCCGGTTTATACACCACCATCGCGTAACTGCGGTGTTCTCTCAACAAACCACAGTTCTAGGTTTCTATTAGCGTTAAAACCCTAGTAACTAAGTTGTGTACCCCGCAGTAACGTACTAATCATACACTGACTCACTGAGAACCTCCTGCACGCGGCTATGACTTAACGTCGAGTCTTCGAATGACGATGGGAGCTTTATCCATCTAACTTAAGCCTCCTGAATTGTATCTCTACGTACGAGTCAAGGCATTTACATCTTGTTATTACGTAGAGCAAGGAGCGGCTAGTCCACCATCTACACAAAGATTTCCCAGCGTGAGGAACATGAGATCTTCCCCGCAAACTACAGAAGTTGGGCACTCCCCAGGTTTATACTTGAATAGTTTCCCGGGCCCAGTCTATTATTATTATATCCTCAGCCCAGACCACTCAACATTTTTTTCCATTTTCTAATTCTTGCTCGATCAAATACTAGTGTCCTTCGTCATGAATACAATTACACAACAAAGCGATCCGTTAGCCACGACAAAAGACTTGTCTGGTCTCAATTCTGATCAGATAATCAATATTGATGACTCTTACGATCAAACGACCGGCACCATCACCGAGTTTGAGAAACAAAAGACCGCGGAGGGAGAGGTATACTTCCAACGACTCGGATGGAAGCGTTTAGCTGTGATTCTCGTTGTTGAGGCCATTGGCCTAGGCGAGTTCAGCCTTCCAGGGGCCTTTGCTACTCTCGGCGTTATCGCTGGAGTTTTCTATTGCATCTCTCTTGGTCTTATGGCTGTCTATACAGTATGGATTATTGGGAAAGTTACGGTCCTATTTCCTGCTATCCAAAGCTATGGAGATATCGGAGGCTTACTTATGGGTCGTTTTAGCGAGGAGCTGTTTGGAGCTATATATATGCTTTAGCTTATGCTTATGACCTCGTCTCATGTCCTTATGGGCACGATCTCTTTTAACATCTTGTCAGATGATGGCATATGTGGTCTCGTCTTTAGTGCCGTATTGGGCGTTCTGCTGTTTATTCTGGCTATTATGCCGTTGTTCACGGAAGCGGCCATTCTAGGCTATATTGACCTCCTGTCCGTTATGACAGCCATCCTCGTAACAGTTATTGCCTCCAGTGTTGATGCTGCAAATAAACCTGGTGGCTTATCTGCTGCAGACTGGTCAGCTTGGCTGGACCCTAATGCGACTTTTAAAGACGGTATAGTGGCCATTTGCAATATGCTCTTTGCATACTGCTTTGCTCTATATATAATACTATTTATATCTGAGATATATATACCTACAGACTTTATAAAGTCAGTATGGACTTTTAGTATCCTTAAAATCTTTATCTATACCCTTACCGGCATACTTATTTACACTTTTATCAGTAAGGATATTTAGAGCCCTACTCTTCTATTACTATTAGGCGTTTTACCCAAGGTAGCTTTTAGTGTTGCATTTCCTATTATTTTCATTTTAGGGGCTATCGGCAATACAGTTACTGCTCAGTATATCCACTTTCAGTTCTATTAAGACTCTGTTACACGGTTTATTAACACCCCTAAAGGTTGGATTACCTGGCTGCTGGTACTGTTCGGCATTACCCTTTGCGCTTGGATACTCAACAAGTCCATCCCTTTTTTTATTGATTTGCTTTCGCTCAGCTCGGCTCTATTTGTATCTGGGTTTATCTCATATTTCCCAGCAGTGATGTAGTACACACTTATCTGTAAGGGACGTAGTACGCCAGAGGAAACTTATTGCATGCTATTGCACGCTATTGCTTGTATATTTGTTTATGCCTTTGGTATTCTGGTTCTCATCGGAGGGACATATGCGACCGCTATGGATATTGTAAGTCGTTGTTGACAAACTTGTACCCAGACTGGCCTCAGCTAACGGCAACTGCAGAAACATCATCACGATACCGATGCTTTCCGTGTACCTTTCTCTTGTGAACCATAAGTTTATACTGCAAAGGTCCAAGGCACGATCAATTGCAGGCCCTAATGGTATGACGCTAGACATCTAAAAAGAATTTCCACTACAAATTGACAATCTTACTTACTGACGAGCAATGGCATTGTGATGTCACGCATTTGTGCATCTATAAGAAACGTTGTAGTAGAACAACAGCTTAATATGTCAATTTCAACGAGTACTATCAGAGGTCAAAAGTTTGTGAAGTAGGATGTTTCGGGATGTTCTTGTTATTATCGCATTCAGTCATTGCTTCGGGCCTTAAAAAGAATCTGTGAAGCCAGCACCTGGGGTACCAGCTCAGCGCTCATTATTACACAACTGAAAAATAAGCAAAGTGGATAAGTTGAATGACGAATAAAGATATGGCCTGAAAATGAATTTCATGCCACGGAAATGACATCAGCATAGCAGTGATAAGAAAACATAAGCTTTAATTCTTCCCAGCCTCCCATTCCTCTAGTTGCTGTCTTCATTTCCACTCCATTTTTAGCTCAGCATCGGTGACCTGGATCTCATGACAATGCTCCAGTTCTAAAATGATGATCCAAGCCGGAACAATACAGATAATAGTAATCCCTAAGTTTAGTCTAATGCTTGTAAAATGATTCACTGATTTCTGAGACTGGATACTGCAGACAAGTTAACAAAATTGTGGTTGAGTATAGCGTTGTCCAGAAAACTTACGTCCAATCCAAGGTTGATAGCACCGCCGACGATGGGCCCGACCACCTTGGCTGTTGCCCAGGTGGTTAGGTAAAACGCACGCTCGCTATGACTAGGACATCCAATCACGATCGCAGCCTCGGCAGCGTAGAAGAAACCTGCAGAGATACCACACGCAGCAGCCCCGAATAGCAGGAACCAAGTATTTGTCTTGTAATTGTTTGTGTATAGGCCCGCCCCGTAGAGTGGATATCCAATCGAACCGATGGCAAGCCCGTAGTTGAGACCGATGCGATTATTGACGACACCTGCGGTGATGCAGACAACTGAGAAAAGGGTATAAAGAATTGCATTGGCGGCCGAAATAGCGTAAGGTCCTGCAGAACCTCCTACACCGAGGCCACCAAGAGCATCCCACATACCTACACCAGTGAAGGATACTCCAGACGCGACGATGAGCTAGAAAACGACTTAGTGCTAGAAGGAGTCATTGCGAAGAGTTGATGAGGCGTTAAGCTCGACATCATGGGAGGTATTCCGATTTGGAGGTTTTATTGCAGCGAAGCAAAGGCTATCAGAAGGTTGTCGCAAGGATGGATGGAAGATGAGCTATAATGTATGACTTGCACTGAGTTTGACCTCAGAGAACAAGTGGAAGGTCAATAATATGTATCGTCGATATTATGCTATTGTTCTAAATTGAGGCAAGTGATAACTTATCTTGTCTACAGCTCTGTGCCGCCATCTGGTCCAAGTAGACCCCAGGTTTTCGCAAAGATACCAAGATACGTCGATACGATACCCCAGACTTTTCCCTCCCCACATTTCATTTGGTTTATGAACACAGTGGGGAAAGGGTGAAAGCAAAAAGCCTAGGGGGTGGGGTAAGATAAGAGCGTAATGTTGCTCCACAGGGCGTGGATGTCATAAGGCAGGTGGATGCGCCAAAATTCTAGCTCGTAATGAGGGTGACAAGGAAAATATTATTTATGTGGGGTAATAGGCTTGTGTGGGGCTGGTGAGGTTTTTTAAGTATGTCCTTCCCCCGGCCAGATCCTCGGTCAGGCCTGAAACCTCCCTACACTTCGCCCCACCAGAAATCACTCAAACGAAGAGGCAGGTCGATGCGCAACTCCCCCCTATAAAAAAACCACTAAAAAAAAAAAAACCCCCACCGGATATGGATTCGGTCGATCGATCCCGTTCTATTCGACGTAATCGTACTGGATGTTGGAATTGCAAAAGTGATGTCTCGACTCCTGCAAGTATCAGGGATGCTGGCTAACCTGACACCGTAGGTCAAAAGAGAAGATGCTCTGGTAAGCGATTTGCGGATCGACCTGCCCCCCCGAAATTTAGTCACCCATCTGAGACGGCCTGGTAGAAGAACATCCTTCATGTAATCGGTGTATCCGGCGAGGACTAGCCTGCAGTTATGGCCTTCGACTCCAATGGGAAGACGAGACGAGGTGTGCTGGAATTGCATTCGGGAGAGCGGCACTGCACAACCGCACCCCAGAGACGACATATTACTTACTGCCGGTTCCGCGAGGTAGGTTGCGGTGGTTGCACACGACGGCAGATGAGGTGCGACGATTTCCCTACGGGGGTACAAGCAGGAGAGCTGATGAAACGCCTGGCCGGCCCGAACTCTCACTACCGCCGTCGTTGAGTGCGCTGCCACGTCTAGAGTACAACGATGGCGCATTGCTGCAATATTGTAAGCCTCAAAAACATCGATACCGATCCCGATTAATAAAGTGGTAGATACACAAGAATGGTCTGCTCATCGAGTCCTTTCCAAAAAACTGGAAAACCCGTTCCAACGATTGATATTACCTCGAGCATTTCAATTTAGCCCCCTCTTACACATGATCATGAGCCTAGCAGCTCACGACTTATTTAACCGAACTCATGCGGACCAACAGCATCAACGTCAGGAATTCTATTCGTCTATGCTTCAACACAAACTGCGGTCACTCCAGGACGTGCGGCAACTTTTATGCAGCAGCAAGGGCCTGGACGATACCTATGATTCCATAAGTCAATGCGAGAGGGATGGCCTTTTGATGGCTGTTATGCTGCATAGTCTGATGGAAATCGCCACAAATAGTACCAGCGAATGGGCTGTACATACCCTTGGAGGGCTGTCCATGGTAAAACGATATGGGCACGAACCATTCAGTCCAGAAGTTTATCGTTTTGTTACCGATTACTTCTCGCTTTCCGAAGCTTTTCTTGCTACCACAGGGACTGAGCTTGAGATTGAAGACCTAAATGGCTGGCTAGTACCACAGCGAAAGTCCATGTTTCCAATATTGAGATCAATGCATGGCCGCTCACAGATCAACCCTTACACAGGGCTATCATCAGAGCTTATCCAAAACATTACTTCGATAACTTCAACTATCCAGCGTCATTCGGGAGCAGGTTCAGATAGGAAAAGTGCGGCCGTCATGCGTATGGAGTTGCAAGCCGTAGAGAACCGACTCAGTGAATTAGAGCAGTGGTCTGAAGATTCTGACATGGAAAGTCTGATTTATCTCAATGCGGCGGCATTCGAGGCTGCAGCCTGGGTATATCTTCGAGTGGCTCAGTATGGGTGTGATGCGGAAGAGATACAAAAAAAGCTAATGCCAAAGCTGTTTGAGGCGATACGCCGAGTTCACGAACGGCAGGATGCTCTTGTCGGGTCAGTGCCGTACCCGCTATGGGCTCTGTTCATTGCAGCTTGTCTTGCCCCCGAGCACGAAAGAATCCAGGTGTTGGGCTGGTTCGAAGAGCTCAAGGGGTGCCGCTCACTCAGCAATGTGTCTAGTACGATGGAGGCGACGATGATGGTTTGGAAACAACACGATTTGAAGTTAATTAATGGGCACCCAAGGGGGGGCAGAGTATCAGGAGTCCCTTGGCACGAAGCTATCCGATGCCTTGGTTGGATGCTGTCGCTCATGTGAATGCCTGATCTAGCTAGGTCGATCGTAATACAATATGCGTAACTAATTTCTTTTCTTCTCGTTCCTTCTTCTTTCTTTTTTTTTCCTTCCCCTTCTTGAATTTTACGTTTCAAAGGATGATGATGATGACAATGGTACGAAAAGATTATCACCTGACTCGACCATATGGGTTCACCCCAACGAAATTGGTTTTGCTTATTTAATTCCGAGTTCAAGAATTGTGGAACATGTTTTGACATGTCGTTTGGCAGGACTCTTACGACTATTCAGACTTTATGCAGGAAACAGAGGAGCAACTTGGTTCTTACAGACCAGACCTCATCGTTGCCCCTGTCGACATCGCTCGAGGTGCAATTTCACACTTCAAGTCAGAAAGCAGTGCTTATTCAACGGCTGCGTCAGCAGTTGAACCCGACACGGCTGCTTGTCTTTTCAAGAGTCTTGCGATTGGTGAATCAACTACGATTGCAACAACACATACCATTATGACTGAATTCAGAAAGCGGTGCCTGTCGACTGGATCCTGGGACATATTGAAGCAGGGCATCGATGCGAGTCTTACTGTATCGGACTTTGAAGCCCACCAAGCCGTGCTCTATCTCCAGTCACACGGAATTCAGGCAGGACCAGCCGGTGCTGCATCACTGGCAGCAATTAAACGGCTTACAATATCCGATAAAAATGCTCTTGGCTTGACCAGGAATTCGACTGTCGTGATCTTTTGCCCTATGACTAGTGACGTAACTTACGATACCCCGCATGATGTCTCTGCTGACGGTCTCATCCTCATCACTCAAACATTAGTCAGAATCAATTCTGTAAGCCCTACTCTTGGATCTGTGGCTGACCCTGGAGAGACCGTGGTCGCTCAATACATCGCATCATGGTTGGAACATCGCGATATAGCAACCCATTGGATCGAATCTGTCAAAGGCCGCCCATCGGTTGTTGGCGTTATACGTGGCGCTGGAAGAGATGGTGCAAAGTCCCTGATGCTGAACGGGCACATCGATACCGTTACGCTGATGGGTTATGAGGACGACCCTCTGAGCGGCAAAATCATCAACGGAAAACTCCATGGTCGTGGATCAGCGGATATGAAGAGCCGTGTTGCAGCAGCCATGGTAGCTCTAGCTAATGTCAAGCGCCTAGAGCTGAACGGCGTTAAGCTTGGTGGTGATGTTATCTTCACCGCAGTCGCCGATGAAGAGAGTGGGAGTGTAGGTACTGAGGATATCTTACGAGCTGGTTGGCGGGCAGGCGCCGCGATCGTCTCCGAGCCTACAGGCCTTCAGATTTTCCACGCACACAAGGGCCTCTGTGACATAGAAGTGGTAGTTCACGGCGTCGCAGCCCACGGCTCGCGGCCTGATTTGGGTGTTGATGCCATAATCAATGCAGGAGATTTTCTTTCTGAGCTTGGAAAGCTCGTTAAGCAAATTCATCAAGGTACCGCTGGCATTGGTCGTGACATGACATTAGGCACAGCGAATGTGCATGCTTCGACCATCTCTGCTGGCTGAAGCTGGCATCGTCCCACTGGTATGGGGTCCGAAAGGAGAGGGATTGCTTTCCAAGAAAGAATGGGTAAATATTGACTCGTTTGGTAAAGTGGTGGAAGGCTTGACGAATGTTATCAATAGGTTTTGCCGATAGACAATCAAAAGCCTGTCTGTACTATATGAAACATTTGAAGTTTCCAATTCAAGCCCTCTGGATGAGTCGTGTAATATGTTATTTATGTAGCTGCCACTAGGGAGCCTCGGATGATGGATTAATGAGGATCGATAACTAGGCATAGATCTTGGTCGGTGAAGCGTGGGATCGAACCTGGAAACAAGTTATCGCACTATGACTAAGCAACAGTCAGACGTTCTCAGTAGGCAATCTAATAACCTTGTATGTGAGAGTAAGATATAGTCCGCACATCCAGAGGTACCCAAGGCATCTAATCTCTTATTTTTCATCGAAATGAGCAGACCATGACCGAGGAGGTGAAGAATTATAGATACAGACGATGGATAGAAACCCTTCCTGAATTGACAATATTGCACCGAAAGTGATTTCTAACTTTAGGGGGGAGGGGGTGTGCTGCTTGCAGCTGCTATTCTATCAGACTTCGGTCAGTCGGTCGACCTGCCCTTCGGTACAGTTCGCATCATCCGAGGGGCGCTATTTCTCTTTCTTTGGCGATGTTTTCCAGATGACGCGTAATTTCTCAGACTTTGCTTATGGGTCTCACCAGGCGACTCGATCGCTTTGGCGTCAAAAAGGGGGCGTCCTGCTCCACCACGATCTCGGCCCAATGGCGGACGGCAGGCTGACCAGTCTCCACTCCGACTTTCCCTTGAAGCTAACGATAGTCCCTTGGCTGCGTTTAAAATGCAGTGAAGCTCCTCTTCCACCGCCGGTATTGTGTGATCAACTTCCAATACTTCCGACATACTCCCCATGGCCGCCACCCATGAATTCTAATCTGACACCCACCAAATCTTGCCACAATTGCCGTTATAATAGGCTTAGCTGCGATCGTTCAGTACCCGCCTGTCGCAGGTGTATGACCACAGGCAAGAATTGCCTTGGCTATGGAAAATTATGGAGATGGATAGATGCGGTAGCGAGCCGTGGCAAGATGGCGGGCAAAAAGTTTCCCAATGCCAAGGAATCCTGGGAGTTTTCTGCAGCATCTCATACAAAGGCCAACGCAACAAGAAACACTATCGTACTAGCGAACCGAGGTCAACGACTTACTTCAGGCCAATGCTCGGCTTACCTGAATCCCGGTACACTGCGCCCTCACTACGGGTTGTGTGACCCGTCCTTGAGCAACGTCAGCACGGCCAATCGTTACTATCTATCTTACTGTTTGTCACCTCCACTGTTCATTATTAAAAATAAAAGAATAATCCCCGCCCCTAACATTGGTGAACCAATCACTAGTTGCAAAAGGACTATGTCCACAGCTCGTAGCTATAGACCTACCAGGCTACAATCCGTTCCCGGAGCTGGTTTCGATGGGTGCTGAGAGCCCACTTCTGCTATATACGGTGGTGACCGCCGCCGCGGCTCACATGTCCAATATCCTCAGGCCCAGCGCCGACAAATGGTTTGGTCATCCACAAAGTATCAACAAATACGATTGGAGTCCGTCCCGACGAGCTTTGGCGGATGCCCTGGCGGCTAAGCAGAAGGCGCTCTACTTACTTCGCATGGCTCTCAGCGATGTAGATGTGGTAGGAAATGACATGGTACTAACGGCCGTGATTATGCTTGTCACGGCTGATATGATTGACTCTGGGAAACATGACTGCCAGGTCCATGTTAATGCTATGGGCTGGTTGCTGAGCCAAGTACCTCCAACTACTGGTGTTGGCGAGATGCTCAAAGACTTCATTATATCAGACTGTTATATGTAAGTTTCTTATATTGTATACATAAAAGGCGCAATCTGACTGACATGGAAAGCCACTATGTTTTTGCTTTGACCTTCATGGATCAGGTGCCGAAGTCGTTATTTGCTCTTAACAGGGCATTTGCCTCATCTGCTATGCACTATGCCGCTAGAAATAGCTTCATCTGCTGTCCAGCTGAAATCTTACAAATCATGTGGTCTACTGCAATGATTTTGAAAGACCAGCCTACACAACACGGTGCATATGGTACAACCGAGAAAGCATTGAAACTCATTTTTAACGCCATATCATTTGACGTGGTTTCGTGGTCATGTAACATTGAGAATGTGCCGCGAGGTCGTCAAGTTACTGACATTAACAGCCGGGCGCATTCAGGCTATACGCATCAAATGGCATGTTGCTTATACATCCTCTACGCAATTCCTTCCGTTAGAAGGATCTTGCCAGAAGGGACTGAGCAGAGTTTAGAGGCAGGGTTGATGTGCCATCTGCGTTCAATTACTGACGAGGATCCCAACTTCAAGACGTCGTTTTGGCCAACATTCGTTGCTGGCGCCCAGTCGCGGGATGCATACCAGCAAGTTTGGATCAAGGATAGAATGATAAGGCAATTGCGTCTCTTCCCGTGGGGTTTCTTGTACACCGCTATAGAAACTCTTCAACTCATATGGGAGCGACGCAAGGTTCAACCAGAGCTGAACTGGCTACAGATCTTAAGGAGCCCTGAAGTTAGCTTTTTGATAGTCTGAACTGCTCTTGGTTACCAAAATAAAGGAAAAAGTGAGGGAACACTTGCCAGATCCGTCTTTTTTTTATGTACCTGGTATTGGATTCACGGGCGGCCACGCAGTAGGTGACTCTCCTCTTTTGGTCTTGAGCGCCAGGTTAGCTCATATCTCGATACCTGTAGAAAACGTCTAGACACTACTTTTGCAATTCAAACGCCCTATACGATTACGTCGAGCAGAACAGGACAGACAGATTGAATCCACATTTATTAGATTATCGGAGAGACAGGTGCGCATCGACCTGCCTTTTCTTTTGGGCAATTTCGGGCAATTTCGGGCGGGGTCGAGTGCAGGTGGGAATTCAGGCTCAGGCGAGGATATGGTTGGCGGAAAGGAAATATTTCAAGTGATTACCCCAAACCCTAATTCGAAACTAGACTTTCTCTGCTCACGTCGGTACCTTACCCTACCCTCTAAGCATCGATTGGAGCTAGCATCGGTTGCCCTCCTTGACTAAACTCTTTCGATGTCATCCGTACTAGGAGTTTGAGTCCCGGCGCATCGACCTGCCTCAGGATGTTGGCGCCCCACGGGGCAACATAGGGCGCCACCACTCAAATGGCCTTTTCGTCACCAATCATAGATCTTTCTAGCATGCCCCTAACTTAAATCAGAACTCTGACGTGGGATGATCGAGTAGTACACTCGTCATGTTTATGTATATTTTACCTCTTGGAGCTCGAGCAGCCAAATATCGTACAACTCTTCTTCTTTGTTTCCGTGTCCATCAGATTCATGCCCATGAATTCTGCCCTATACAGAACATCATCCACTACAAAGATCCGCCATTATATTATCAGCCCGGTGATTCTCTCTGTTGTATCTCTGCAACACTTTTGTTCATTCTATATCCATCAAGCCATGAGTGGACAAATCAAAACACAGAGCATTCTGGACAACGCACGCATAGCGCCTGAAATATATAAGCTGCGCCCGGATTATCGAGCCCTCCTTGTACAAGCCGAGGGCATCCCTCCAGGGCCCAGCGACGCAGCTAGTGAGGCCATGTTGAGAGAAGCAGAGGAACACGTCAAGAGCCTCACGTCGACCCAATCCGTCATTGAGCTCCCCCATATCGCAGCTTGGCGAGAAGCTTACAAGGCCTTCGGCGCCAAGCCCCAGCGCACCCGCAATAGCCTGGAAGCCCTGACACTTCGTGTTGACAAGGGCGGTCTACCGCGCGTCAACCGCTTGACAGATATTTATAACGCTATTTCTGTCAAGCATCAGATCCCGTTTGGTGGCGAGGATCTGGACAAGTATAATGGAGCGCCCTTCTTGATTCGCGCCACTGGCAAGGAAGAATTCCACACTACGGCCAATGGACAGCCCTCGATAGAGCTAGCAGCCCCTGGGGAGCCTATCTGGTGTGATAGTACTGGCATTACTTGTCGTAGATGGAATTGGCGACAAGGTCCACGGACTGCGCTAACGGACGAGACTACCCGTGTCCTCTTTATCCTGGATGCTCTGAAGCCACTGTCTGACGAGGAGCTTGTTGAATCTGCTGAGGAACTCTGCAGTGCACTCAAGGCACTATCGCCGGCAGTGAAGGCATCTTATCGAGTTCTCAGCGGTCCTGCATAGGCTAGGTTGGCTAGTTTGATTCAGAAGGGGATACATAATGTCTGTATTGTTCACTATCCTACACTCTTTGTAGTTCTTTCCGTTGCTCATCTATACTGGTCAAAACCCAGAACCCGAAGCGTGACATAGACTGCTGATTACTGATAATTCCTCTCGTTTGTGAACTCTAAAAGCCACTTATCAAGAGTCGAAATAACCAGGCTCGATGGCTTCACAAAATGGGCCAACAGAATTGACTTTTCCGGGTGGAATGACACGGTTTGGTGTTGATCGCCGGGCTCTGATGCGGGCTTTGGGTCGGTAGACGCACGCTGAAAGGTCTTTCTGGCATCCATTGCAGACTGTCTGTCCATCACATTTAATCTTGCGTTTTCCACAGGGCTCGCAGGCTTTGGATATCATGATGATGGTTCTGTGATGGGTGGTGCCAGAGCTGGAGGGACTGCCATGAAGCAGAGTTCTTACTCCGCGACGGAGCTGTGCGACATTGATTCCCCACAAACACACTGCCACAGTTACTCCGTAACTCCGTAACTCCGTAATTCATTTTGCAACCCCGTAACTCCGTCTCCACCTTCGTCCAAGCCGATCCCGTCGACTAGCAGTCCCGCGCTCACACCCTCAATGAGCCAAGCTGTGCATAGAACTTCATCTTTAAAATACGGACAGATCTCCGGCCTCTAAGCACGCAAAATACATGCTGTTTCTTCTGCATAGCCAAAGCGGCCTTGGAGGTTGCCCAGTCGGTAGATGGGCTCTGTGTAGAGTAGGAAAAGTATCAGCGATATAGGCGACCCCTAAGGGAGTCTGTACTAGAGATAAGAGGAGGGTGTAGGGGTGTTTTGATACCTGACACAGGCCGATCGGCCACTTATAAGGGACCTAGCCTATCTAGTCAGATAGTTGGGCCAGCCTTATTGGCATAAATGCAGAACTAGCCTGTTATGCATACTGGTGTCAAAAGTACCTTAGATATCTATTATAACTAGGGTAGCTACCTTTTTATATATAAATGCCTCTTTGATATTATAGATTAAGGCAGTTATTAGGTTTATTGCTAATTATTTAGGGAGAGCTCTAGCTTATTATAAGTAGAGGATACTATAGTAAATAGCTGCCTATGCTAGATAGTATGTAATTAGCCTTTCTAGCCCCTTGCTGAGGTAGGAGAGTAGAGAGATAGGTTACTAAGCTTGTAGTAATGTAAGATCTTGGCATCTAGGTTTGGCAATTATAACCACTTCTGCCTCTTTAAATAGTTTTAGATAGTAGCCTATAGAGAGGTATTTTATAAATAAGTAGCAAATGTATATCTTAATAGTATGCTAAATGGCTTTAAGGAGAATAATAGTAATATTATCTAATCCAGGAGATATATTACTTATATTAATAGTTACATCTTATGCCTTGTTTAGAGAGATTTTAAGTAGAAATAAAATTAATTTAAAATAAGGGATTAGTATTTAAGGGTTTTTAATATTATTATTAGCAGTTTATTATTCTAAAATGGCTTATTAAAGTATATTAGTATTATAACCCTAGTAGTTTTATTATATATATCTTATACTTTTTACTAATTATCTTATTTCCTATTAAAGATAGTTAGTATTAAGGTTTTATAATTATAACTAATTTATTATAATTAGTATTAATTTACCTAAATTACTATTAATCCCTTAATAACCTTATTAATTACTAAGAATACCTCTAGTATATAAATTATATTTATTTATACTTTTATAAATTTAAACTTACTAGCTATTAATAAAACTTCTTTACCTTAATAAGCCTAAACTATATTATTAATTCTTAAAAGATAAAATACTATATTATAACTTAATATTATAGCTTATAATTTTATAAATATAAAATCTAATATAAACTAGTTTACCTATTTAAAACCCTAATTATTATATATTAATAGCTCTTATTTAAAATATATTATATTAATAACTAAATAGTAATATAGTATTAAGATATCTAGTAATACTAGCTTAATACTCCCTTATATTAAAAAACTACCTAATATAATTAAAATAATATTTAAAATCTATTAGATATATAATACTATTTATAATTTATAAATATATCTTAATATATTAGATATAGCCTTAATTAGAAATAATATTAATCCCCCTTAAAGATAAGATATTAAGAAAGTATTAAAACTACCTAAGCTAAAACCTTTTAAATAACAGGCTATTAATATAATTATATTCCTAACTTAAATAAAGGCTTATTTTTACCTATTTTCAATTAAATTAAATAATATAATAAAGAAAGTTTTATATATTATATTATTAATTTAAGGAAATTCTAAGAATTAATTTAAACCTATTTTTAAAAATTACTTAAAAAATAAAAAGATTATATAAAATTAGGAAATTATTAATATCTTTATTAATTAAAAAAACTTTAAAATTATATTTAAAAATAACTTTAAAGTAATTAATAAAAAATAATAAATAACTATTAAAATTATAATATATAAATTTAATCTTTTTTTCCCTTACCTTTAGCCTTATATAAGACTATTAAGCTTTTTAGCTTTTCTATTAATAGTTTAAATAGTAAGATCCCTATAGCAGGCTATTATTACAGAAATCAGAATTAGATAAGGTTTATCTGCCTTAATAACGCAATTACTACCTTAACCAAGCAGTACTAATACCAGCTACAGGTATTAAACTGTTAATTAATTAATTAAACTATCTAGCTAGGGCCTTTTTAATATAGCCTAGCTAATCTCTAAAAGAGGGGTAAAATATTATATAACTTTTCTATTTTAAGAAAAGTAGCTCCTTTAATTAAAATACCTTATTAATTAGTATTTAATAGTTTAATATACCCCCCTAAAGTATTAAAATTCTATTACTTTAAGGCTATTTCTAGTTTAATCTCTTCCTCTTATAAATTAGGATTTTATATCTCTTTTTTAAGAAAAGTAACTTTATTTAAGATTTTATAACTTTAATTAGTTTATATTTTATTAATTTAATTATTTATAAGTTATTATTTTAATTATAGTTTTTTTTAATTAAACTGTATTTTAAGGTTTTATATTATATTAGTAATTTATAATAATATTATTAAGTAATAGTAATATTAATAAATTATAATAATTTAGTTATATAATAATATAATTTATTACTAGGTATATATTTTATAAAATTTAACTTCTTTTTAATTTAAGAATTTTTATTTTCTTTTTAAATATTATAATAATTACTTAATATATAATATTTCTTTTATATAATAACTCTTTTTATTAAGTTTCTTATTAAGATTTAAGCTTTTTTATTAACTTTTAAGTAATATTTCTTACTTTATATTTAACGTTTTTATTTTTATATTTTTATTTATTATATTTAATAAAGCTTTTTAAATACCTTAGAGTTATTAAATTACTAGCTTAAATCCTCTTTAAGTAGCCCTTATTTTTATTACTTTATATAAGTAGTTTTATAGCTTAAATTAGTATTTTATTTTACTAATAGTATTATAGTTATTATTATAATAAAGCCCTTAGTAAAAAGGCTTTTTATATTACTTATAAAATATAATAAACTTAAGCTATTATTATTATTATTAAAGTATATATTATTACTTATTTCTAGGTTTTACTTTATTAATAAAGATAATAATATTATTAAAAGAGTTCCTTTTTACCTTACTTACTTAAATAATATTACTTTTAATAAAAGTAATAATAAATATTAGGAATACCTTAATATATATTATTATAAGTAATATATTACTAAGGGCTTTTATAAGAAAATATAAGTACTTTAAATCCTTATGTTATAATTTATTTTATTAATTTAGCTTTTATTTTATAGTCTTATTATTATCTTTTTTTATATCTTTTATTTCCTTAACTTTTACATAACTTATCTTAATATAATAAAAGACTTTAATAAAGTAAATAATGCCTTTTATACTTTTAAGCCTTAAGAGGAAAAATATATTAAGTTTTATATAAGTTTAGATTACCTAAAGTTAAAGATATTTAGTATTAGTAGTAAAAAAAGGATTAAATAAGTTATAAAATAAGCTATATAATTTTAAATAAATAAATTAGCTATAATATTAGTATATTATTAATATAAATAAGGGTTATAATTTAATATATTCTTAACTTAAATTTATAAGGATTTCTTTCTTAATATTATTATATTAAAGAAATAGTAAATTAATTACTTATTAATTATAATATATTATTAATTAATAAGTATTAGGCTATTAATTTTATTAAGTAATAATTAAAGCTTAAAATATATTTTTAAAGGAAATATAACTATTAAAAGGCTAAATATAAAAATTAAGTACTTTTTATAATTAATTTAGGCTTATATAAAATATAATTATAAAATATAATATTTAATTAATTAATATCTAAAACTTTAATAAGATTAGCTTTATAATAAATATAATATTAAGCAGTATAGTAATTATTAGCTTAAAAATATATAAAAACCTAAAATTAATTTAACTTAAAAATTAAAATTAAGTTATAGTAATTTAAATAATTAATATAAAAGGCTAAGTAATTTATTTATTTATTATAATTATAAATTAATATTACCTTATTAATTCATACTAAGAAAGCAACCTCTTAGCTACTTAGGCTATTATTATAACTTAAAATATCTAAATAAATACTAAGGTAGGTCTTAAGTAATTACAGTACTTTAATTAATATATAATTAATTAATTAATTAATATTTAATATCTTTTAATCTTTAATAGCTATAAATATTACTATTTAGCTAATTTCTAAATATATTATAAGGAAAATAATATTATTATACTTTATATATTACTTTATTTTTCTTACTTACTGTACCCCCTTAATATTAAGTACTTTAAGTTATAAAAAAAGGTTTATAATTAAGAAATAAAGTAATTAATTAAAAGATTTATAATTTATATTTTTATAACTAAGGTCTTCTTAGCCTTTTATATTACCTTTTAATTAATTATAACATATATAATAAGCA